TTGAATAAGATTTTAAATATATCTACACAGAAATATATATTAATAGATAAATCAATTTTTCTAAATTGATATAGTTGACCGTCAATACTAATATAAAATTAAAATTTAAAAATAATTGTGTGGTTTATGAATATTATTCAAAATTGATATTATGATAATTTTAAGAGATTTCGAACGGATTTCCTCAATCTTCCATATACATTATATCAACCTGCTCAAATACTAAAGAGAATTTAGAACAGAACTTTGATTGTTCAATAATACGTATTAATCATCAAAAGGGCAATATTAAGTAAGAATTAGGTAAGAACATTAACAGAACAATTCAAAATTACAAATTCGAATACATTTTAGGATGAAAAGATTCTCATCTCTTTGAATGAAACGTAGAAAGTTTTACGAACAATGTATGAATAGTAGCATGGCTTCTATATTATATTCGACTGTATGCCAATTGTAATAAGGGTACATAATTACTTATGAAATAATTTCTTAGAGTTTCAACCGTTCTCTTAATATTTGTTAATTCATGCAATTGAAACCAAATATATCAAATGTATGGTTTTGTGGTGACTGATGTAGAAGCACTGAATTTCACCATTCAATCAAAAATTGCTGTCGATTTGGTGACACCCCAATGATTCCGACTGGCCTTCCGTTTGACTTCAAACGATTGCAATTTCCAGTTCGCAATGACAATTAACAAGTCACAAGGCCAAACGCTTAGTGTTTACGGGATAAATTTAGAAAATCATTGTTTTTCGCATGGGCAGTTATACGTTGCCTGTTCACGAGTCGGGAAACTAACCGCTTTGTTTGTGTTAACGTCAGACCAAAAAACAAAAAATGTGATTTACCAAAGAGCACTTCAATGAAACGGATAATTTACGGATTCACTTTCATTTACTTAGACAAGTTCAACTAAAAAACACTTCATTTTTGTAATAGAAATAAATTCATTACTATTGTGTAACAAAATCAAATTTTTCGATTTCAAATATAAAACAAACAAAAAATTTCTTTATCTTTCTCGCGAAACCATCTGGTGCCGAAACGGAGATCGTCGGGTTTGCTAGTATATATATGATGATAGTTTTGTCGGCGTTGATACATATTTGTAATATTTTTGCAGCCTAATCGTCGAATTAAAAAAAGATTAAACTTTAGTGTTCAATCAATTTTACATCACAATTAATTTTCTCTGTTTGGTTTTCCCGGTTTGATTACTGAATGATGACACACATCAAGTGTCGAAACGTTTAATGGAATAAATAATTTTGTTATTTAATCTTTTTTTAATTCGACTATTTGGTTGCAAAAATATTACATATATACATATATATATATATATATATATATATATATATATATATGTGTGTGTGTGTGTTTGTGTGTGTGTATTTGTGAATATTTATTTATATTATACATATAGTGTAAGATAGAGTTCGAGAGATCTAGAGACTAACTACATCTCACCCTTTACTTTAACATCCCTTGAAATAAATCGAAAAATCTAAATCCATAAACCAGCCTATTATTATTATTATCTATAGTAAACGCTCCAAAAAATTTGGATGGCTTTTGACACATCTAATACCCTAACCCTACACAACGAAAAATAATGGAAGTAGAATAACTTGATGCATTAGATGAAGATTTTTAAACTATTTATATGGGTATAAAAAGTTTTAGATGGAAAACAGTCTCAAAGTGTAAAGATTTAAATCTGAACCGGTTCTCCTGCTAGTATTTTTATATATTTTATACTTAATATTAAACGATATTTTATGATGTAAACTCAAGAGCACAATTATAAACTGTATTCTATATTCACAATAAAAATTTTCCTTAATTATGAAATAAAAACTAAAACTTTTATGTTTGATTGAGAATTCATTTCGTATAACGAACTACAATTATTGTGGTGTTGGCATTTTCCATTAGCTCGTGATATTTGTTTACTCAATACATCAAAGAGCATCTTCTATCTATAAAATTCAATTGTAGTTGAATTGAAATTGAAAAAAGTGTCGGATCTTCTCATCACTAAGTGAGATGATTGATTTTCCATTCATGGATTACAATACTCACAGTGACGTGGTAAATGTTTAAAGGATAACATATATATATATATATATATATATATATATATATATATATATGTATTAGATCAGTTATCAAATCTACTGACCTGAACCTTTAAGTCTATAATTTTGCACTTTAAATCAAATACTTTCAGAATGCGTTTTGCCGAAGGTTGTCTCATTCAACTTGTCAACGAGGTAATAAACGAAGTGACAATACTTTCCTTTATAGTGACTACAAAATATTCTCTGACTATGTGTGTAATTTCACTTTTACTTTGTTTTACTATGATATGTATTGAACCATGAGAATTCAATTCGGACGACTGCTACATCCAACACATGACTAGTTTTAAAGAAATTCAGATGGTTTTTAGTGCGAATATCTGCATATTATATATTGTTTCCGATATGGGATTTCATTAATGAGTTTTCCAACATTTCATAACCTTGTTGACAAGTATACGTGTCGCTCGTTTTCGTGTAGAACTTTGCCATTATCCTTTGAGTGGTCATTCAAGCCGCATTTTATTCAATCACACGCCTAGCTACACATTCGAAACCCTTATGAAACATATGTATATATATATATATATACATATATACATATATATATATACATATATATACATAACTTCATACATATACTTTCATGTATGGTTAAATATTATATTTAACACGAACGTAGGTGCTCCAAAGTATCAATTTTAATTTATGTCTTTTCACTAAAATAAAAAAATTGAAAAAAAAATCAAAACATTTATAAAAAAGCCAGTTTTGATAATAAAAGGGTGAGCAAATTGTATAAAACTAGGACAATGTTCTAGGAATGAAAGTAATCAATAAGTAACGGTTGCAATTGACAATATTGGCAGAGAAAATTCTCGTTATTTTTGGTAGTTCACTATGAATATAAATCTTGTTTCACCGAAATTAATAGCTGATCTAGAACGTTTGGTGTCCTCGATGGAAAAATCTATGCTTAAGTAGGGCAATATTTAGGGAGAATTAGGACGACGTTGAATTATATCTCTGTCACTTTGGTTCACTTCAGAAATTAGTAATAGATCACACGTGTAAGTCAATAAACTTTGTGCAGCTTATTTTTTATGTTCATTGCGTTAAAAATAAAATTTGATAATTGAACGCTTTTGATGGATATTGGTATGTAAATTGTTCAAATGTCTGATTATACGTTATACGTTATGCTATAATCGGAGACTATACCATATACTATATAATAAAAATATTATTCACTATAGAATGAAGTATACTTCATTCATTGATCGTTTTGTCAGCTCTAAAGGACTGATATTCAGACAGTGATCATTTCATCCAAGCACATTTAGTAATCTAAATTATACATCTCTTAATACTTTATGTCTGGTACAAAGTTATGATTTGAAACGCTCAATTTCTTGTGAACGGATTAACGATTGACTAATCCACATCAACCGTTTTAACCGTTTTAACCGTTCAAGTTTAAAGAAAATTATTTTGTGAGACTTATAATTAAAATTGAGGCGTAGAAATAAGTACAGATTTGTTTAAATTTTGTTAAAAGTATCTAAGAATGAAATATCAGACAATGATTTTTACTACTAGAAATATATACCAGTAGGTAGGTAAAAACATAACAATTTTTCAATTATTAGATGTGGTTAAACATGCAAAAGAGTATTAGTGTTGTGCAAAATGCTAATTTATTTGTTAAATAATCTGGAGAAATAATAAATTATAGAAATGTTACTGACGTATTTGCTAACAACTTCATAATTTATTTCGCTCATATTTTAAAACAACTGTAATCAATTGTGATCAACAATATCTTAGTTTATATTAGAAAATAAGAAAAATAAAATTCTTATAATATCAAAATTCACAACTATCTTTATATGTTTTTCTATAAAACTTATGACAATAAATATTGTTTAAAAAGTCTATGCTGAATCTAATTTAGAGAATGAGGTGAAGATTATAACCTTTGAAAATTTTGCTACATGTGCCACAGCGTGAACTTGGCACATTTTTAGAACTCAATCCGAACAATATTATTCGATATAAATATTATACAGATTCCCATTTTCGTACAAAAGGAAATATTGTACACGATTTATGTTTGCGAACGGCATGTATGTAAAAGTATTATTGTATATGAAAGCGTGTGTTCCTCTCTGAGCGCGTTTATAGAAAATCAAGGTTATGTTGGCGTCATTATGTAAGTACAAAAACACTTTTATTGTAATAGCGGAGAAACCATAGAGTGGTTTAGCTTTATGAATAAAAACCATATCAATTCCCATTGTAAATGCATAGGGAAAGATATAAGAGAAATGTTCCAATAACAAATCAATTTAATAAATAAAGGTATTTTCAAGAACATTCTTTTGCGTCGGTTTGTTGAATTGTAATCTTTGCAGCCGCAAAAGTTTATTTAAAAATGTAAAAAATAATAAATGTGGGAGTTATGATTATAATAAGCACGTCATATAATATAATATATTAATATAGTTTCAATATTATTTCAATTGAAAATGGTAGGTCTATTTTGGAAATTCTAATTTACATCGTGTCCAATATCACTAAATCTATCAACGTGATAAGCGATAATGTATTATCCATCACCTCACTGAAAATGTTCACAAAATTTACTCACAATTTAATGACTAATCAAAATATTGTATGAATGATATATAATTTTTCACACAACGTCAGGTGCGATTCATTATGCTAAATATTTACCGCGTACTACAGCAAAAATTCCATTCCTTTTTCTATTACAATTCCCATAACGTTAATCATCTAATTATTTTAACTTTGACCTTATAACTTGATCTTCACATAACATAATAGAATGCTCACAGTTGGTGAATAATACAAGGAAATTAATCTATTAATTCACTTGCCTTTTTCCAGATATCCGTGAACTGTACGAACTGTTACAGGCGGCTGGAGCAGGGGTAGATTCAGGGCCTGGATTTACCGATACAGCGGGTCTCTATGCAGCAAGACAACAACGAAAAGCTTTGGCACCATCCCTGAGATTGAGATTCGGAAAAAGAGATAATGAATTAGAAGATGTGCGTATTTTTTATAATTATGTTTCAAGTAATATTTCTATTATGTGAATGTATTACAACAATTTTATGTTTTAATCATTTGCTCCGTCAAAACTGGCCGAGACCATTTTCTGTTTAAAGTTTGAACAAAATTTTTGTTTGTCTGTTATATCTAATAATATTATACTTCCGCAATAATCAATACGGTTCAAAAACTAAATCAAATTCTTTTCAATCACTTTTCCACTATTGCCGACATGTTCAAGCCACCATTTTTACTAAACTTGCATAATAAAGAAAATACAAACTGATCACGGAAAAATATATAAACTGCTCAATTTATCTCTTACATCACTGATAAAATTTTAAATATGATAAATATTATAAAATATGATGGAAGCGCTTATGTAGCTTCCATCATTTTATGTATGTGTATTCTAATTTAAATTATATACGGTGGAGACGCCTTGTACAATAACAAATCTGATGTAAAGAAAAATCTGGTAAATATTGTTTTGCATATAAATTTTACAAATATTATCTAATATATTACTCAATATTGATATTGAAAATCATTTGATATATATTTTATTGTCATTCTTCAAGTCGGGTTAAAATGTTAGTTTTGCACTCAAATTCTAATTATTTTTTTATATTAACAATATTAATATTAAATCGATATATATATATATATATATATATATATATATATATTTACGTGTGTATATCTGTATGTGCAAGCTTACCTTCAACTGGGTCTGCTTCAATCTTTTTATTACAGTTTAGACAAATCGAACCCCTCAAATAGTATTTGTCATTTTGCCTGTAATTCAATACAAAACAATTAATATTAGAAATAAAATTAGTAGATTCACAAAGCTAAAAAAAATACTATGTATTTATTCAAAAACATATTCATTCATTTATTATATTTTCTTGTATTGTTTATTATAAATGTTATATATTTTTATACTTTTCTTTTCCTTTAATAATGTGCTCATGAGAAAGTACAAAATCTTTACCCATATGAGTTTTCTGCTTGTACCTTTACAGCACCTTTTTTGTTATACAATCCCACACATATGGTTGATCATTACCATATCAATAGGAAAAGAAATAATGCACATAACATAACGTATATTCAAGCTGACATTGATACGTCTTCCACCTAAAATGTAATATAATTGTGTTAAAATGTAAATTTATGAACCCCTCAGAAAGTGAGACAGACGTTTTCTTAAGGGGGGAAGTCCATATAACATTTTCAAAAAATTGAAAATTTTTTTTTTCGATAATCTGCAAGTATAGTATGTTGAGCGTATATTAACGAGTCGACAAAAAAAAATCTCTTATATTAACAAAGTTATAGCTAACATAACAGGGCGGGTCGGAGTGCGCATTGTCAAGCGATCAAGCGTATTGTTAAATTTCGAGTGAAAAAGGTCTCTTTCATTATAATAACTAGAAATACTTCTTTTGACCTACAACCGAAAGACTTCTATGTACCTTAGTACATGTGTAATATTGGTATACGAACAAAGGTTAGTCGAGAAATATAGTTAGTTTAGCTGGAAAATTCGTAGTGTTCAGTCCATTTCAATACGTAAAAATGCCGAATTATTTAAAAGGTAAGCGAAGTAATATTGAACAAAATAACACTAAAAAGACGTTATCAGTGCAATCAGTTTACCGATAAAGCAGGTGAAAAAATTGACGCCAGTACAAGTCATAATGAAAGTACCAGTGGTCAAGATCTTCTAGACGTAGATTTAGCTCCATTACTTGGTAAAGAAATGAAACAGCATCTTTCACCAATTTATGAAGATTTGTCCAAAGATGATTTACTTGAACGATGCCTTGATGATCATACGCAGAACGCGAATGAAAGTTTCAACGCGACAGTTTCGCGACTATCATCAAAACACCCACATTGTGGACTAAGGGTAGTTGAAATTTCACCATATATTGCAGCTAGGATATTTATTGAAGGTTTTAGTTCAATATTAAGAATAATGAACCTTCTGAATTTGACTGATGGTACTTATGCTAAAGCATATGCTGATAATACTGATGAGGCGCGAATAACTTGACAGGATCGTAGCAGCCTTTCACAAATAAAAGATGCTGGTACAGCTCACAAACAACAACAACTTACAGAAAATCAGTTTTTTGAAGATAAGGAAGAACTATTGTATGGACCTGATATTGCAGATTAATCGGTAAGTAACTAAAACTGGTCATTTTCCTTTACTAAATCTTTAAACGCGATTATCTCAGAACTGTGTTTTCAAAAACTGCTCGTGTTGTAGCTCAAAAAGTTATGTATCGATTTGTCTGAAATTTGGTGAGGCCTTTCTCTATATTATTATCGGAAGGAGAAACCTAAATCTTTAGATCTTTTGCGTTTATAAAGTATTTTCTGGAGCTCAAAATGTCAAAAAAATAGCCAAAAATTCAGATTTTTTTTTCAAAGGCTTGTTTTTTATTGAATTTTATACCTTTTTTTCAATTTTATAGGTTTATCCTTCCCATTGATATGTTCTCAAAAGAAAACATTAAAAAAATTTTTTTTCAGATCGACGGTTGATGAGTGAGAAATGCAGCAGTTTTGGACCTCGCGCCGGAGGCAGTCCACAAAAAGTTATGCTGAGCCGCCATTTTGAAAATAAAAATTTTTTTAAATATTTTTTTGTATTCTAAAAGGGTTAAATAAAGCTATGTCAAAGTTTAAAAACAATAAAATTATTCCATCACGTTTAAAAATATTTTTAAAATATGACCTATTTTCATGCGTCTATATGGACTTCCCCCCTTAATCTAACTTTAACGAATACAAATGAAATATCATGACAAAGAGTTAACTGGTTTTATGGAAAATCATAACTTAAAATTATGGTTGTTAACCAGGATTACCAGTCTTATACTAATCATAACACATTTAGGCATAGTTATAACATTACAGTTAAATTATATTCACTAGCTTCAAAATATTCCGAAATGGGCACTGTTCTTTTTGTTTTTTTTTTAAGTCAAGACGTCATGAAATAAAATTTTTCTCGCCCAGTAAATTTGGTTCAATATCTACTACCTTTTGCTTCAAAACTTTGAAATAAGTATTGACTAGGAACAGTTTCATACTTTTTAAGGTAGTAAATGTATGTATATAATTCGTTCTGCATCTCAAAAACAGTAGCCAAAACTTTCGTCTAACAGCTGTTTTGTAACTACATGACATCCCAATATTGACGTTGAAAGTGCACATATAAGCTTGTTACAGATAGTAATGTACGAAACAACTTCGAAAGTAATTTATTTATTTATTTATATAGGAGTTGCCTTATCCAGTTCTGGAATCTTTAACATCCGAACTAGACATGGCGCGAAGGGCTCCATCAATGAGATTGCGCTTTGGAAAACGCTACGACCCTGAGGTATGTATGGTCTCTACAAAATAAAAAAAAACAGAATAATGAATTAAATTAATTTACGTAATTAAAATTTTAGCCATTGAGTATTGAACTTAACCAATACTAAACAAATAATTTAAATTTAAAAATTATAGATTTTTAAATTATAAACTCAGATAAACCAAATCCCAAAAATACTATGAATTTATTCATGTATAAAAAGAATTTATATATATTTTTATTATTTTAAAATAAAATGGTGTGTTTTTTATATTATTTCATGTATATGCATTGGTAACTCATCTGGCACATCTGAATCTGACTCTTACCCTGATGAACTATTTATAAAATCATAACATATGAAAATAAAATATTATTATCTATATATGAAAAAGAGAGTATATAAGATTTTAAATCAATTTCTCAATGGCTTAAATTTGCGCATGGCCGCTCCAGTAGGAGGATATCTCGCTGAAACAATAACCCGGCTTGATTTCAAACTACATAAAATATTAAACGTTCAAAAGTCTTGAAACTTTTTTCATAATATTAATATTTCTATTTCTACGGATAAGCAGCAGATGAATAATAGGAGAATGCGGCTACCGACAAAAGTTTTGCGATACGGTCGCTCTTACCCGCAGGTATTAATGGAAAAAGAATTTTTCGAAATGAAAAACTATATTCATTAAAATATCAACGTCAATTTTACTTTCTGTGCATGTTTTATTTTCATATGTTATATTACATACTCAATGCTATATAAATTAAAACCGGAATAATCTTTACATGATGTATATTTATGTGCATAATATGTATATATTGGTAATTATCTAATAATTGCATGGATTTCAAATAATAGAATAAAATTTGATTTCACATTAATTATTAATTTACATGACTGTAACAATCATAAAAAAATTTGCTATAATTTAAAAATGAATTCACGCCATTCCAAAAAAATTCCGATATTTCTAAATAATTGACATGATCAATACAAACTAGTTTCGCAACTTTTAAAATAATAATAGTTTGAAATTTTGACACCGTGAACTAATCTAAGCTATAATATTTGGTTACAATTAAACAATTTCTCGTAGGCCAGAAATATTTTAGGATGTTAATTTAGACCTTTATTTGAATCTCTAAAAAATATCAGAATCGTTGAAAATGAAAGAATAACAATTAATTATTGAAAAACGACTAGGTCGATATTTACTACGAATGAGTCAGATAGTGATATCTTTCAAACAACTTTCAAGATTTTTAGCTAAACCGTGTACGAAAAATTTTGCACTTCTAATTAATTGCTTGATCAAACGTCATGACAAACTAATCAGAGCAAGTCCTTGTCTAGTTACATCAAATGGCTTTTAATTTTTTTAAATCTTTTTTAAAGAAACGTTGATGAAAGGTCAAAGTATGACACACTAACGGACTAACATATAATACGATACACATACTTCATCTAATTTTGGCCTCAAACGATTCAGAATGACTTGAAAAAAAAAAAGAAAATTTTTAAGAAAACTTAAAATAATACTAGTAAAGTAGATTTTGTCGCGAAAACAAACTTTTCCTTAAAAAATTAATATTAAAATTAATATAATAATAATATTAAATTATATCATTAGATCATATAATGTAGTAACTTGAATCGAATGTACTACAAATTTCCAAATCTATATATTTGTTTTGTAAAAACAACATTTCTAAGATAAATGGTTAATTAGTTATATTACACCATTTCAAATTACCCCAGCGCAATAATTTGACGATTATATAAATTGCTCTGTAAAATTCAATTCATATATATAATGATAAATTATAATTATATATATTTCATAATTAAAAATTGCTGATAAGTTTTTAAAAAATAAATAATCTAAAAAGTTAAATTGCCTAATCATATCGTAAAAATTGTCAATGTTTCGGTAAAATATTTGTTAATTCTTCTACTATTACTAGGATAATAATAATTTATACACAACAGTTTTATAGCCTACAATAAATCAACAAAAACGCATAAAAAACAATTCTGCATTAAATAAATAAGCTTAATATGATGAACTACGAGCAAAGTTTGTAACATTTTGCTTTTTTCATAATTCACCAAAATTGTTTCTTTTAAATGTTAAAAAATATATATCCCACACTAAGACGTTAGCTTTTATGTTCCTGTGATGGATTCATATCGTTAAAGGGGCATTGAAAAGTCAAAAACGACATCATCTGATATAAATCAAACCATGACTTTGTATATTTATATAAAGCATAGAGAGATATTTGTATAAAGATGATAAGTTTCCTGATGAGTTATTTATTGAAAAAGATTTATCCATGATAATTATCACTCACTTTTGAAATACTTTGACAAAAAATAATTGATGACTAACATTTATCTCATGACACAAGAATGCCGTTTAAACTTTTAAATACTGCCGTAAAATTATATTGATTTATGTACAATAAACAACAAATTTTAGTGTTTTGAAACCGTCAAGTTTAAATCATCGCTATATTTTTTATTTGGAAAGTTTCAGTTCATAGTGGTATTTTGTAAATTATTTATAAATAACGAGTAATATTATTTTCAATATATTGTTTTTTATTATCGACACATTCAGTTAAAATATCTTAAAAATAGTCGCTGTAACTGAATATGATTTAAAAATATTATTTTTATTATTTAATTTCTTTACTAAAATGACCAAATGTAGAAACCGAAATAATGTGTAAATGGCACGAGTGTAAAGTGTATATAGTATTTTTGTGAATAAATACATAAATATTAAATATATGTGATAAAAAATGTACGCTGTAAAAAAGCACAGCTTTTTCTGTGTTATGCATGTCATGAAATGCATATTTAAAGTGCATGTTGTTATGCAAATGTTTACTCTGTTTCAGGTGAATGCGCGGCAGAATGCAGACACGACTGACAATTGAACTGGGATTTCTAAAAAGAATCTAATATTCAAGTATTAGCTTAAAATAAGAATTATTTCTATAAATCTTTCAATCTGATGATAAACTTAACTTACGTACATGTGCTATATGTAATTTCCTTATTAAATTATTCGAAATATATTTTGATATTTATCCTTATTGGTCAAGAAAATAAAAAAAATGTTTATTGAACACAAGCAGTGTATAATACATTATTTAAATAATTCGAATCAAATATAAATAGAGAATTGCATCCTAAAATAAATTTCAATAAACGACTATAATTTATCCATGGCTTTATCTGAATTTTATTTTCAGTAGTGAGTATATATTTGTATATGTTTTTATATATCTAGATTTTTGTATCATAACATATAATTTTAATATTATCCTTTACCGGTTTAAGAAAAATATCAAATTGCATTGTATAATCTACTATAAATGTAATGTGGCAAATAAAGTGTCAGAAATATAATACGTATAGATATGTAAATACAATAACTGTTCTTTATATAATACGATTAATTGAAAATTTGGTTTCTAGTTTTAAATAACGATTATTTGTAAATTATAAACACAATCTTTTAAATCAATAAAACTATTTGTCACAGAAATATAATTTAGTATATGTTATCGACCAATATGATTAATTAATATGATTGGCTCGTTGTTTATATGAAAATTTGGATTGCCATGAATTAGAAAATTTGGCATTGGATCTGAATAACCTTCAAAGATGTTGAAAAAACACATAAATATCACAACTTACATTAAATTAAATTCCAAAGTTTTATGAATATTTATAATTACTTTCCAGGGATCGTTCAAAGTATTACGTAAGCAGATTTATTACAATTATTTATCCCCCCATCCCCCTTGTCAGCAAAAGTAAGCAAAGCTCTTACCCCCTACCCCCATGCTTACGTAAACATTTTGCAATTAATATAAAAAAATAAAAATACTAGCTATGACGTAATTATCATCCATACTCCCCTGTCCCCCATGTCAACCCAAAATAAGCAAATCGACAACCCCCCCTATAGTGCTTACGTAATACTTGAACGTACCCATTTGCCAGATCTATAATATTTTAAAATATAATTTCATTGCCAGATCTATAATATTTTGAAATATTATTTTAGGTCATAAACTAGAAAAAAGTCAGCAATTAGGATGGGCCGATTTTATTACCAAAAACCAATCAACATGATTCCCAACTGTTATCCCTAAAATAGTTTTTAAATTTTCAAAATCGGTTCAGGACGAAACCGTTGATAAAAAATTTTGATCTTATTAAATAACGGATCGACCGATAAAAAAATATATCATAAAAAGACCTCTTTTAAATCAAAAGAATTTTTTAAATAAAAAAAAAATTATGTATTAGCTCACTTACCTCACAATCATACTTCTTCAAATTTGGGTGTCAAACGATTCAGAATGACTCGAAACGTCGAATAAACATAAATTTGACAAATCGTATTTTTGGCGGAAACAAACTTTCCTTTCAGTTTAAAAATACGTCTGCACATGACGAAAAAACACCATGGGTGTTAAAATTATTACACTTCATAAGAAAAACTAGATTATTAAAAAATATATACACGTACTTATTTACAAAAGTTTGTGCAAAGCAAGAGCAAAATACTTTGGACAAGTATGATAAAAATAACTGATTCTACATATGATTTATAAGAATACTCAGAGGTTTCTATATTTTTTCCTAAGATATTTATTATTCATTAAAAATCCAATAGCATAAGTTAAATTACTGAAATAGTCAAGATCATTTTTAATCTGTTCTTTCTTTTTAATTTGAACACCAACTGCACCTGTTTCGTTTTCAATTTTATCTATTTTTCCTCTTTCTTTTCAGCTTTTTCTACATTCTTAGCCGGTTTGTCGGCTTTCTTTTCGCCCTTTTCTAATTTTTTTTCACCAACTTCTATTTTCTTTTCACCTTTTTCTATTTTTTTTTCACCCACTTCTAATTTTTTTTCACCTTTTTCTATTTTTTTTTCACCTTTTTCTATTTTTTTTTCACCCATTTCTAATTTTGTTTCACCCTTTTCCAATTTTTTTTCACCCTTTTCTACTGGTTTTTCGCCTTTTTCTAATCTTTTTTCACTTTTCTCTGCTTTTGTTACTACTACATCCGGTGTCATCTTTTCTGATTTCTTTTCAATTACTTTTTGCGATTGTTCTCCAGCTGCTTCAGCCTTACTCTCAGTTTCTTTTTTTGCTGATTTTGCCCGTAATTCACTCTTTATAACAAAATCCATGATATTGCCTACGGTACGTTTTCCAACAAAATCGCCTGTAAATTTTCCGTTGATATATAATTTCATCCAAGGAAGTTGTCGTACATCCAGTTGCTGGGAAACATCTTCGTACATATCACAATCCAGCGTTGCGAAGCGATAGTTCGGATAATCCTTTGATACTTCAAAACACGCACGGACTACCATTGGATAGACTTCTCTGCAAATTCTACACCCTACGACACATGTTAAAATTAAATAAAACATAATAATTAACAATCGATGCTTTTAATTAATGCGTATGTTTCGCAGGAGTGACTCTGCTGTATGGAACATCTAGTTACCCAGTCGAGCTACTGAAGGCGCAACAACATTTTTCAATCATTATTGATAAAAATACATTTATAAATTCAAAAATGCACTTCTTAAGACATTACAATAATAAATTACAATTCTCATAATTAGATACAGATCTGTTAATTATGAGATGTATCTGTATCAAAATCCGTATCGATACGGATGCTGATACAGATACGGAGATATATCAGTTTAATCTCAAAAATGTGTTTTATGCAGCCGTAATATATCATATAAAATAGCACTTATATTTACTGCGTTTTAATATATTAATTTATATATTTTATTGTCCCTTTCGCTACAAGCTACGACATCCGCATGGCAACCTACTGTAGTCAACATTTATTGCGTCACGATCGGAATTAAAATATTGGAAATTCTAAATTGTTATTGAATTATTTAGTTCTTTACAAGTGCAATTATTAAATATATTTTTATTGATAATAATTGAAAACTCTTAACGTGTATTGTTGCGCCTGTACAGTTCAATAGCGATACTGGGCGGATGGTGGCCATTAAATCATTATCGTCACTCTTACATGATCAAATAAATAATTCAAGCAACTAAAAACTTTATAATGATTTAATTCACTAATAATTGTTGCAAATGTTATTTCAGACAAAAAAATAATACCAAAAATAATCATTCTTATACTATAAAGATAGCTTTAAACCTGCCTTTCTAGTGGAATTACATAATTCATATTAAAATGACCAATCCACAAGAGAACAGTGTGATTAATATAATCACACAAGATAATAATGTAATTAATATAATTCCATCATTCTCTTGTAGATATATTTACTAATTACTTATGTCTTAGAAAAAAAACTCACTTACATGGTGCTTTGAAAAAGATTAAGAGACGCTCTTCTTGCAGTATAAATTCTTTAAAATTTTGATCCGTCAGCTCTATCATCTTTTCAGAACCCGGAAGCACATTAGGATCATCTGCATGAATCTGGCTCAATATTTTCAGTTTATCCTCCGGTTTTCTTGCAGGTTTCTTATCATCTCTTCCAGCACCCTCAGCTTTATTAGTTTTGCTAGCAGCCTCATTCATGTATGAATTTTTAATAAATAATTAAAATAATAATTATGAGTATTAATATGAAAATGACAGTTTATTTAGAAACAAAAAAAGATAGATTAATTTTGTAGACCCATTAAAAGTAATTCAATACTATTTAAATATAAATTAGTTGTTTTGTATACCCTTTACAATGCAATATCCTTTCTTACTGCACAATTGCTAAAATCTTCTTAGCCCTTCTCTTTAGTAAAATATATATTGATTTCGCTCATTTGTCAAACTTTGTAGCACACATCTTACTTCAAAATAATAAAATTCATTTTTAATAAGTACTAAATAAAATGTGTATCAGAAAAGACTTAAAATGACAATGTATATTATTTCTCTAAACATCTACGCAAATTCAAAGCCAATGGCGATTTAACAAAGTAGACAATTTGATATTTTTTAATTAAATCACTGATTACGAAGTAAATGAATAAAAAAGAAAAATGATTAATGAATTCGTATATAATCTTTTTAAACGATTTTAAAAATCTCATATATCACAGATCTGAATTTCATTCTCAGAATCAAATAAAATAATTATCATATTAAAAAAATATATATGAGAACAATATATAAAATAAGTAAGCATAAATTGCTTCTTAAAAATATAATGCAAAGATTTACATAATTTTTAAGCAATATGATATTGATTAGAATCATTCTAAATATGATTGTCAAAAAAAGAATGATCACATTTGACTGAATTTATTTTAAACATACAATATGCAAACAGAAAGTACTTTTATCAACTGTGCAATCTCTCATATCACAGAAAACTTTTTAAAACATTGTATATATAAGATGAAATATTGCAAAATATAAAAATATATTTCAAATAATTATAGTTTCATTACAAATAACTAGTTGGTAGTAAAGTTAATAAATGCAGATTGGTACCATTGTGCAAGGCTAGAAGTAGATATTAGTTTATCCTAAAACTAACTCTTAATTAAACATTATTAGGTAATCTCATTAACATAATTAATACTATCATATAAAATAGTTGAGATTCAGAATAAATATTTTTAAATATTTCGCCTTTTAATTACTATTAAAGCTCATCTTTTTCTCGCTGAAAAGTCAGTATGTATTTAATAATATCATTTGAAGCTAATTTTCCTTTGTAATTTGATATAAATTTTCCATTTTCGAATAGCATTATTATTGGCACTTCTTGCACATCTAAGCTATTCACAGTATTTACATAAATACTTCTATCTAAAGCAGCCAAGGCATATTTTGAATTAGCTTTCCTTAGTTCTGTTGCAGATTTTGCAAATTCTGGCTTTATTTTTTTGCATTGACTGCTAGCTGTAAACGAATGTCATTTATTATATATATATATATATATATATATATATATATATATATATATATATATATATATATATATATATATATATATATATATATATATATATATAATTCAGAAGTAGATATTTACTTACATCCATAAACAAATAATAATACTTTATCTTTTGTTTTCATGAAAGAATCAAAAGTGTCATCAGTCAAATGAAATATATTTTCTGCGCCTTCTATATGTTCCCACGAGTTTAGTCCTTTTTTCTCTACATTTTGTCCACTATTTAATAATGCACTCATGTATTTAACAAAATCAGATTCCTAGAATTGTTTATCAAATTTAGAAGTAAGTAAAATAATTTTAATATAAAAATATTTCAATTAAAAACTTAAAATCAAAGAAACATAAAAAAATCAACATTTGTCTATCATATGCTTTTGTTATAAAATGGAAATGTAAGCTGCAAGATAAATATATATTTATATTTATCCTCAGAATGACATATGGAATTAAACAAAGTTATTTACGGTTCTTCCTCCATTGTAATCTTGCATTCCCTTATTGTAATTCAGGAAACATTTAAATGTTGGATATCCAGAAACATCCATAGCGCTGCACACGGATCTGTGTTGCGTACAATCCACAGCTGCAAAGTTTATTTTGGCATCATCTTTGAATTTTTCAGCTGCCTGAGTAAATTCAGGTTTCGCTTTCTTGCAATGTCCACACCCTGAAAATTTATAAATGAACTTGGTAATTATAAATTAAATGACCAGACCAATTAGAAAGACAATAAAGAAGTAATAAGGACATATTAACAAAAATATTTGATCATTAAATACTAATAATACTGTGTTAATATATTAAATCATTGACTAATTTATAGAATGAGTAGTGGAATAATTAATAAAATTACTAAATATATTTTATCTTTTAGTAATTGTTGTTTATTAAAGTAATTAAATAATTAAAATTTATCGGAAATAGTAATATTAGTAATAGAAGTATAAATAATAACAATAGTAATATCGGATATAGTGCAAAAAAAACTAACATGGAGCATAAAACATTGTCAGTACATATTTCTTTTTTTTCATAAATGGTTTGAATGTATCTTCATCTAAATGAAAAACTTCACTTTCTTCCTCAGACCATGGTTTCTCTGGAGGCGGAGGTGGTGGAGGTTCTTGAGGATTCTATTATGAATATATTCACATATAAAGTAAATACAAAGAATTGAAAATCAGTAAATATCAATATCTGCAAGTAATAAAATAATTTTTCATGCTTCACCTTCATAAATTCAATTATTTTATCAGCTTCGCGAACATTAGCATCATATTTGTATTCCCCATTTACAAAATATTTAATTGTAGGATAACCTTTTACTTTGAATTGTGATGCAATAGTTGGTTCTTTTGTAGCATCAAGAGCTGCTAAAACACCTGGAATCTATAACTGTTCATGTAAATGATTTGTCTCACATAATTAATTAAAGTATTAATATCCTACATTTCTATTCTTCATATCAGCCGCTGCTTTCTCATATTCTGGTTTCATTTTTTTACAATGGCCACACCAAGGAGCATAAAACATAACCAATACGGAAGGCTCATCTTTCAATGCAGGTTCAAAACTATCACTTGTTAAGTGAACCACCTAAACAAAAATATCATCAGAAATACATTTTATTTCTTGTGCTTAAACATGCATTATGTGAAGATTTTCTTACTTCTGAATCTGTGTCTGACCAATCACCTTCCGTATTAATAGGTTTTACAGAAGGCTTTGTAGGATTTTTCATGAATTGTACTAAGCCAGATTTTGTGTTTTCTCCTTCATAGGATTGCTTAAATTTGCCAAGTCTTTACGAAACAAATGAAATTTTAAAATTCATGGAATCAATACGCAAATTTTGTTCAATACAAATATTATTAATTCATAATTGCTTAAGCATATTATAAGCCATTTGACACTTACTCATAATACAATAATGTTGGAAAACCAGTAATATTATACTGCGATCTAATGCCAGCATTTTCTGGTCTGTTAACATCTATTGCTGCTAGTATAGAATGTCCATCCAACTCAGTTGCAGCTTGAGCATACTCAGGCTTTAAAGTTTTACAAAATCCACACCACGGAGCATAAAACATTATCATAACAGGTTTCATCTCTTTCTTCAAAAATTTTCGTAATGCCTATAATGCATAAAAAAACCTACTTTTTCAAAATATTATTTTTGATTTCACAACTCTTGATGTCTGATATGTTTGACATTACATATGTGCACAAAAAAACATACTGTTCATCTACTACTTCTATGTTCATCTGATACATATTCTACCTCAACAGGTTGTTCTATTTGAATTCTGAAATAAAACTTACTTGGGCATCTGCTATATGCACAACTTTTTGTGCACTAGGATCTTCTTCCCATGGTAAATCTCCAGTTGGATCTCGCATGAAATTTACTAAACTAGAAACTGATTCACGTCTATCATAATCTTTATGAAATTCACCATTTTTGTAATGCTTTAGTACATATGGTTCAGGTGAAACTTTCAATTTTTTGCACATTTTCTTAGCATCTCTATAAATGATTTATAATAACATGTATTGAAAGTCAACTCTTGTTCGAATAATATGCTTCATAAATAATGATGAAAATGAATAAATGAAACATGAATATTGCCATCGCACAATATTATTTGACACATCTATAAATGTGTTAATAAGAGAAATAAAGCAAATAAAATATCATAAACCAGCAAAAAGCATGAAAATTGTATGTGGAATCTTCATCAATACATTACATGATACATTTTATAATTACCCTGAACAATCAACTAAAACCATAGTGCCTTGTCCTTTTATTATTTCAGCAACATCCTTAAAAACCTTAACAATATTTAGTGTACTTTTAGAGTTTTCTATGAAGCATATAAGCACATTATTCTTTGTTCGCAGAATTTTTTTCAAATCTTTTGCATCTGTTATATCATCTAGAACTGATCCTTGTGAATTCAATTTAGCAAAAGTGTTTGTAAACGTCCATAAAAAAACCTGAAAGTTATAATAAATTATATTCTATAGCAGCATTACCGATAAATTAAAACCAACAAACAAGAGGAATGAATATACTCACTAATATTATTATCCATTTGTATTTCATTTTTAATATATATAGTTGAATAAAGCAGGATAAGCCGGTCGCTGACGTGACAATTCAATAAATATTATAATTGATAATGTGGTTGAATAAAATTTGAAAATTTAAAAAATATAAAAAAACATCTCTCATGCTTAACAAGACTAAACCATTTTAAACAAATGAAACATTATTTTACATAACAACTAATGCATATTTAACGTTTTATTTATCACCATAAAGCACTAGGAGTAAAATTACAAACAAGATATAAAGACTGAAGTGCGATGAATATAATTGCACAAACTGATATTTTAGCTACATTTTCTTCATGTTGGTGGTACTGAATTTACATACGTCAATTTGATAGCTGTCAAACGTCAAAACTTTGCAAAACAAATAAATTCTGAATTGATAAAAAAATAATTAAACATGTCTGACGAATCTCCAGATCAAAACCCGGATCAATCGGACAGTAAAACACCTGAAGAAGAAACAAGACCGCCCATCACTATATACTATCAAGATCAGAAAATGGAAAATCTCAAAACAGGTTTAACTTCTGAAGATCTTTTAATAGCTACTAGATTAGAAAAACTGCGCGAAGACCGAATCAAAGATGTACCAAAAGATAATGCCTCATTAGAACAAAGATTAGCTGATTTGAAAGGAACAACACCCGGTTCGATTGTTAAAGCTAATCTTTTACTCAACGACAGTCGTTCCACTACAGAAAAGGCCGAGGATTTGTTAAAGCAGTTTCTAGAGGAACTCAGAATTGATAAAAATATAGACCCACATACCAAGAATGATATTGAGTCTGGTTTGGCATTGTTAAAAACTGATGAAAATACCGTCGATTCTGACAGTGCAGATGAAGAACAAGCTGTAAATAAATTAGTGCAGAGATATACTGAAGAAGCTGCCCTACAACCGGTTGATGATATCAATTCTGATGATGAATTAGAAAGTCCTCACTTTGATGAACATGACGAAGTGAATACGTGGTGCATAATATGTAATGAAGATGCAACTCTTAAATGCTTAGATTGTGAAGGTGACATATATTGTTACAGCTGTTTTCACAAAGGTCATGAGGAATGGAACATGAATCACCATAAGCCTATAACTTTTAAAAAAACATCTGAAGAATGATTTTTTTCATTCAATGATATTTACAGATTCATTCTTATAAAAATATATTAACTCAGCGCATTCTTTTTTCTAAATTTACTGTGTTAGAATTGTCTTTGTATAACTCCTAAAAGCAAATTTATAGAGATGAAAAAAGATAGCTTGGAAAAGAATTTTGACTATTTGAGATATCTACTTGAATTTATCAGTAGAAGGCTTTGGGTCAACTACGCCCTATGTAGTATTAATTTAATGCTTGTTTTTACAATATTGCATTTGAAAAATGCATTTTAATCATAAAGATAACAATGTGGCTTATAAAGTATAAAATTTATATATGTAGCACTATAATTAAATATATATTGTTTTATTTAGCTTTGTATTTAAATATATCATTTATATAACACAAATATAATTATTATTATTATTCAATACATTTGTTTATATAAAAATATTCCTATCTATTAACAATATTTATTTCTATGAGATAACATTGTATATAGTAAGTAAAAATTTAAAAACTATATGCAAATACAGCTAGCAAAAATATTCATATAATATTTGTTTTTCAGTATGAACAATGATAAATAAGTTTAGGCGAATTTTATGGATACATATTAAAACTTACAAACTAATTAAAATTTTCAATACTATCTATCTATTAATATAATATTGGTTTATTCATCATTTGAATTACTTGCGTAATAGATGCTCCCATAATTATATTATTGATGAAAGTTGAATTGAAAAATAATCTATGGATTAACTTATAGTTTTGTCATTCAATTATGCTTTCAATTTTGGAATTGATAAATAATTCATCAAATAATATTGAATATTTATTAAATTCAATCAACTGCAGGGTTCTCTTTGGACAGTAATTCTTCTAATTGACGCTTTAGTTTCAAATTCTCAAGTTCCTTTTCATTAAGCGCGGTTCTTAAAAGTTCAATTTCAGCTAATGCATCCTTCAATTGAATTTTATAGGTTTCGGTTTCATTCAATTTAACATTATTATTTGATACAATATTTATATTCGTTTTTGTTGGCCCAATGATATTACTAAGAGCTGCTGGATTTATCATCTACAAATAAATTATTGTTAATTTAATCTTTCTAATTACCTCATAAATATAAAATTTGGAAACAATTAATAATGCTCTACCTTTATTGGGGATTTATTTTGATCTTTCGTTGATACAACTGTTAATTTTTTAAGTTTAGAATTAGCAGACATGACAGGAGAAGTTTTTAGTGGAGGAATCATGCTGTACTTTATACCAGCTGTTTCAGCTGCTTTCTTAAATGCTTCAGCTGAAACCTGAGTCATAATAAAAATTAATATCTTTAATCAATCAAAAAAAAAACATCTGATGACGAATATGATTTACCTTTTTAAGCAAGGGTTTATTTCCTTGGCTTTTAGTAATAGCTAAAAATTGTTCTTGAGTAAGTGTTATAACTTTTTTATTTTTTAAAGTATTATTTGGAAGTACGACAGGCTTTTTAACAGGTTTTATTATAGGAATTGTAGGTTTAGTATCTACTATTTTTTTATTTTCTGCCAATACAAGCTTTCCGGCTTCTGTAAGATTAATAAGATTAATTATTAAATATTAGAATCAATATTATTAAATAAAAAATGATTCAATTATCAATTTTAATGTAAAAGCAAACTATATTGTTTATTAAATAAAATATATATAATCTTGCTTTAATTTTTTTATAAATTAATATGTACCACATTAAATATAATATATACCAGAAAGAACTATTGTGCGTCCACTTTGTATTACGTTATTTACAAGACCTCCTTCATCAGTTGGTAGCATTGTTATACCGTGCTCTTGCAACAATTGAAGTGTAGAAAGTTGTGACGGAGACGTGATAGCAGATGTATTCTTTAAAATTTGAGGTTCATCTATAAATATAAAATATTATAATGAAATGAAATGTTACTCATAAATTAAAAGTAATAATTTTATATAAATTAAGTAACGTATATGCTAAATTTATAGTAAATATTTTATAAAGAACTTGCATTATGTTTTTTTTGTCTATGTATATGTTATAAAGCCATAAACTTTTTAAAAAGTTTATAGTTTTATCACTTTATAATGCATTATAAAGATAATTAATTATCACTCTATAATGCATTATAGTGATAATTATAAACTTAAAGTTTATAATTATCACTTTTACTAGTTAATTTCTACCTTCTAAATGCTCATTAAAGCTTTTGTTATCATGATTTGTATTTCCATTTGTAGCTTTTTCGTCTGTGACTTCAGTTTTGAATTGATTTGGTAGTAGTTGCATTACTTTAATTTCGCCATCGACCTGAAATTTTTATTTAATGATATACATATTACTTTTAAATAAATAACTGTGCAAGATATAATTGTAATGTAATGGCTGATAATGGTAATTATTTTAATGTGATAATTTTCTGACATAAAATAAAAAGTTTTAAGATTTAAGTTTCCTTATATTAATACTTTGCTGAATAACCTGTTGCTGAAATTCTGCATCCAAGTTTTGTGTAGCAATAAGGGTAGCTTGAGCATCTTCAGTACTCTCTTCGTTTCTTTTAAGTTCAGCTTGTTCTGTGAGTAGTCTAGCAGCTATTTGCAAAAGATGTGCTAAATCCAACCTTAACAATTGATTTTGATATTGAAATATGTTTTGGATACTGAAAACAAATAAATACAAAATCCTTACCGATTTAATTCAATTGCTATAGATATTGGTGTCTTATCAAATTTACTCATTAATGTTGGATCGGCACCATGTCGTAAGAGTAATTCTACTACAGCATCATGTTGTTTCTCAACAGCCCAATGTAGAGGTGTCATTCGTAACTAGAAACAATCCATACTGTTAATTGAGACAACTACATATAAAATATTAAATATTGCATAATACCATATCTCTTGGATCAACTTCAGCTTTGTTTATTAATAATAATTCACATATTTTAGCATGTCCTTCATATGCCGCTAAGTGCAGAGGTGTTCGATCTACTTTTGTCCTCGCATCTCGGCTTATTCCTGCCCTTAACAAAACCTCACACGTTTTTAAATGATTATTCATTGCTGCTAGATGTAGGGCACTTGTTCCCAACTAAAACAAATGTTTTGTGAATATAATATATGATTCAAAGCAACCTAAATTTTTTGTCAAAAATAATAATAGTAGAAGGAACAGTGATCAAATACATATTTTTGATTATATCTCATAAAGAGATATATGAATCAAATTTTGAATAATATAAGTGTTGATAGAATTAAACTATGTTCTTTGAAAGTGTGAAAAATAAAGTTAACAAATGTGCAAAATTAAAAAGCACAAGACATCTGAGACAGCATTTTTAAAATTTTTTAAGTATACCCAATCGGTTGTGAACGGTGCCCCCTTTGTCATCAATTCGTGTACTTGTTCTGTATTCCCAAGCCTTGCACATTTTCTCAATCTTCTACCTAATTCTACAATAGATACAGTCTGCTTAGTTGCAGTTAATAGCCCATTTATAGATTGAAGCTCCTGAAACAACATTTCATTGATTTATTAAAAACTATTAAAAATTTATTAAAAACAATTTCTTTCATTGAAACATACTGGTAAGTTTGATGCTTCTAAATCTACATCTTCTGTACAGACCACTTGTGCAGGAATGTTGGTCAAACGATTGCTAACCATCATCACTTATGTATTTTATATCTATTCAATCTAAAAGATATCATACTTGTTAAACATAACCTACATAAATATAAACAAAATTTTATGTACGTATCCTGAAAAAAAGATTTATCTTGAAATCTTGGATTTCAAAAATACATATTGAAGGATTAAGAGAAATTAAAATATTTGATAAAACTTAACGCACATCAAAATGAGTTAAATATGCGTTTGTTTTCAAAATAAATGTCAGAATTAGTCATTTCCTTAATAAACTTCCTTTTCCTGTATTTATTAAACGGAAGTATATCTCTCCAATATATCAATATTCTATTTATTCATCACATGCAAAATGATTTTATTTACATTTTGGATTCACATATATTAACCATTTGTTTTCGTAAACACCATTATTGCCTAAAAAGTGAAGGTAACTGTCATTCTTCGTACACGGACGCCATAAATACTTTTGAGCTTTCATTACTTCCTTTCGTGGTATTCTCTTTCTCTCATAAGGAGTGTTGCACGACTCAGGCGCATTTTTAAAATAATATTTACAGCATTTGTGTCGTGGCACGCATATAAAAAGATTATAAAATGTTACAAATATGTTTACTTGTATGATTTTTTACGTCTCCTATTTATTGGAAGAATACATATTTATGCTTAAATTTAACATAAATTAATTATTACGTTTACCATGATGCATTCTATAATATCTAGATTTAATTTAATAGGTATACATGTTCATTATCTATAAAAATTTGGACACAATAATCTTTTTATTTATACTGTTTTATTAACTGGTGTTAGAATTGCTAACAAAAGATGTATATATTGTATATAAGCTTGAGCTGGTTAGTCATCAAGCATAAGTGCTAATATAAACATACTATAAAATGATATAGATATCATGTATCAGGTTGTAAGAATTATTGCGTGAATCAGGTGCAATTCGAAATTGCATGTCATATCAATAAATATTTTTATTTTTGTGCATACAAAATAATAACTGGAATTGACATTTTGAGAGTGTTTACTTTTATACTAAGTATACTTTTCTTTTCTTTCTTTTTATTGTTTAGTAAATTATTTAATTAAAGTGAGTAGAATATTATATGATTAAATAAGTGAACTTAAAGTACACACTATTTCTACGTAAGCTTCTTCCTATATTTAATTTACCTTGACTTGATTTGTATAACCTCAATATTTTTATCAGAATATTTCAAAATTTTTGTTAAGATATATTGATAATTTCATCTAATTAGAATCTTAGCATAACATTCAAATGCATAGTATAACATTGTAGTATTTCAAAAGGGCTGTTGTATACGAATATGCAAATCTTTACAAGATTATAAGGTAACAAACGATAAATATTTATGTGAAGATTTTATCTATTAAATATCAACTATTATTTTTTTAGATATGAATTATGATTCAGCATCTAATGCATACATATGTGGAGACGATGTTGACTGGTCATATATGCCAGATTACATTTTACTACATATATTTGGCTTTTTGTCTGTCGAAGTAATTTTGCAAGCTAGCTTGGTGTGCAGATCTTGGTACAGAATTAGCAGAGATGAATGTTTATGGAAACATTTATTTCAAAATAATTATAAAGTTGATAAGAAAATTGGCATTCTGCCAGGTATATAATTCAAAAATAAATACAAGCAAATTAAGAACAATTGTTAACTATTTTGTATAACAGGAGCTAAATCATGGTATTCTGAATACAAGCGATTAAGGTATCATGTACCATTGGTTTGTACTGAATTTTTAAAGGATCATTCTAATCAAGTCCTACATGTCAGCTTTTCGAATGATGGGAAGTTATTTGCAACTTGTTCCAAAGACGGTTATATTTTGGTGAGATATAATAATGCATTACTAGATGAGTATTATGTATTGTGAACTCATGATTTTAAATCTTCATTAGTGTTTGCCTTTTTAACTTCGAGTTTATTTTGGTTCATTCCTTTCGCATAATTAAATCCATGTATACATTTTTGAATTTCAATTTTTAGGTTTGGAATTCAGCATTTCCTGCGTCTGTACGTTATCAATATGACATGAAAGTGTTTTCATGGAAATACACACAATTTTCTCAATTTAACTCTAATGATACGTTATTGTTAGTATCGGGGGTATACTTTGGTACTCCGCCCAGTACCTCAGGTGAAATAGCAGTTTTTAGTTTACAAGGTAATAAAGTAATATAATAAATAAAAATGAAAGTTTTCACATAATGTTACAAATTTGGATTATATAATTTATTACAATCATTTCATGAAATAAATTCAGCATTGAAATTTATGATAATATTTATGTAATTCATATAGCTTATATAATGTTTGTTTTAGGTGATTTTGCATTGCAATGTCGGATAATTAATAAACCATATGATATATTTGGTGTGTGGTTCAGTGAACAATATCTATTGTCAGGCGATTTGCATTGGTTGGGACATTTAGTTAGCACTTCAGTACTATGGTTAAATAAAGCTAATCAAGAATCTGTATCAGAACATGTGCCAATTGTTTCTCAAATGTTTAAATTTTACAATATGAATGCTAGTAGCGTAAGAAGTATTATGATCGCAAATTGTAGGTATGTAGAATGAAGTAAATATAATTATTTACCACTATAAATATAATCTATACAGTTGATCTATGTTTTAAAATATCTAAGCACTTGATATTGGACATTTACCTAATGAATAATTTGAATATCATATATATTTTAATTGAACTCCTAATGTTCTACGTGTAAAAAATTTAAATATCACCAATTTTAAATAGGCTATTCATCAACAACTATTTTTAGATGCCTTTATAATGAATAAATATATTTCAATATTCAATTTTTTAAGCAAATTTAATTATTTTAATATGTTGTATCTCACGAACATTATAAAAAGTAAAACTGACACTAAAATAATTAAATCTAGTGCTAGTAAACTTTGATAGTGTAATTACATTTTTTTTTATTCAGATCACATGAATTAGAAAATGAATTAGCAATGGACACATTAACTACATCTCCAAAGCTCAGTAAAGAAAGCAATTCACATTGGATTAATAAGAACATCATAGATGGTAGAATCAATTTAATGTGAAAAATAATAAAATAATAATAATCTTGATTAATTTATTATATTTATAGATGATGATCTTCCAAATGCAAGTATATCTTATAATGTAAATGAAAATGATCGAAACAGCAGTTCTATAGAATACAATGAAGATTATAGGAAAAATGAAATAGATGAACAAGTAAGTTGTTAAATATTATTCAAAATGTTAAATACTGTATTTTAATGACTCATTAAATTTAAAGTAAAATTGGACAAACAAACTTATATCATTGTAAACATTATTAAATTTTAATGTGTCCCTTAATTTTTAGTTATTTATTTTTTACTATCCAGGTAATTAATATTATGAAAATAAGTAAATAAATGTTTGCCCATATTATTTTCAAATTTGCAATGAAATAAAAAATACTTTTAGCACGCAATGAGTGACTCAGACACATCAACACAAAATTGTAGTACTTCGTCAAGTAGTTCTCATATTAATATTGATAGTGTAGATGACATTCGTGAAAATGAAAGTGATCCACTGAAAATAGGAATGGATTGTTCAGAACAAGGTTTGTTAGAAGATGAAATGCATTCGGAAAATGAAGAGCTCTTGGCAAAAGGGCATGAAAAGTACTTAATTTTTACAACCGGCTCAAAAACATATACCCCTCATCAAATTGGTAAGTTTATATTTATAGAAATATAAATTTAGATATTATTATTTTTATTTTTGATTCATTATCCCCATTACACATGTTTGCAATGTGAAATGGGGTCCCAACTATATCTTAATCTGATAACTACTTTTCAGAAATAAATTATCCCAAAGTTAAAAATCGTGTACTTTTACTTTAAGGATTCAAAAAGATTAAGCATGTGGTCTTTCCTAAAAGATTGGATCCTGGTTTGACTTTAAGAGAAAGGATAGCACGACAACGTGAACAAAATAATCAGCCTCCCGTTGAGCTCGATTGGTTAGATTATGAAGCAGTTCAAGACCGGTTTGACAAAGTTGATCATCTCATTGATTTACATGGTCACATCATTGGAATGGGCTTAAGTCCAGATCATAGGTATAATGAAAAAATGTTTTGAATTGTAAGGGTGATATAAAACTTGAATTATATTTTGTTTGTGTTGATAAGTTATCAATGTTATTTATGGCAAAGAAATTTGTATTTAGTAATGATAATTTGTTAAAAAATGCTAATAATAATATTTTAGAGATTTCATCTTTGAAAATAATTAAATTCTTAGAGCTCGATCTTAGTATATTACATTATATATTTTTTGTATATTTATTCCACATAGGTATCTGTATGTGAATTCAAGACCATGGCCAGAAGGATATGGTATTACAAATCCTTTGGAACCACCTCCTATAGCTCAAGAAATTGATATTCATGTTATTGATCTGACAACGCTGAAACAAGTTGGGACTATGCTAAGAGCTCATAAAGCTTATACGCCAAACACTGAATGTTTTTTTATTTTTTTGGATGTCAGCAAGCAATATGTGGCAAGGTACTTTTGTAGTAAAATATATATATATATATATATATATATATATAATATATACACATTAATGTTGTTTCTATGTTTAGTGGTGCTGAAGATAGACATGGCTATTTGTGGGATAGGCATTATGGTGCAAGTTTAATTAAATATCCCCATAAAGATGTAGTTAATTCAGTTGCTTTCAACCCAAAAGATTCGGGTATGCTTGTTACCACTAGTGATGATCATACAGTAAAGGTAACATGATCTATTGTGCTATTTACTTAATGATGTTATAATTTTTTTTTTTAATCCAGGTTTGGAGAAGTTTGCATAAAGCGAAAAAACTGGGGGTGGATTTAAATAGCCCAAGAGGTATAAGGCTGTCTTGAAACTAATAATTTGAAGATTTTTGATGAAATTTAAAATTGAGAGAATGGCTGTATTTGAATTGCATTACAATAGCAATTTAATTTACCAAGTATTGGACAATATTTTTCTACAACCAGAACAAAATAGGCCTATTATTATTGTATTGAAGACAATATTTTATAAATTATTTTAATAGCAGAAAAAAATTAAATTTCAATGTCATATGGTTAGATTTACAAAATATACAATGGTTTAATCTCATGTTATTTTATCTAATAAAGCGATTGTGATAAACTTGCTTTAAAAACAAAATAAATACAAATTTAATATATAATGAACTCGAAACCGAAATTCGAAAATATATTGCAATTTAAAGTTGTTTCGATGTTTTAATCATTGTTGATGAATTACTTTAATTTTAATATTTGCTTGTACACATATATATATATATATATATATATATATATATCTGAAACTTACTTTATATAAATATGTAAAATGACAATATTTTGGACTGTTTTAATGTAAGTATTTTATATAGTTCAATTATATGCTTAATAAAGTTAATTGATTATTTGTTTATTTATTGTTGTGTTCTTATCATGAGTAATAATAAATATTAAATAATATATGATTTTTTTTAATATAGCTTGTATGTGCTTCGAGTTTTTGACAGCATTTAATTCATTTTCTGCATTGTTATGAACAAAAGCTTGGAAATTAATTTGTGAATTTATAAAAAAAAAGATTACATCTGAAAAGATGTATTTTGTATTATATAAAATTACGTGCAAGTGGATTCATGTACATATAACACAGCGTTTGTGAAAAATTTGTAATTGACAAAAAAAATTTATTATTGAAATCAATTAAATATACCCTCTTAATATTTTCAACTGCATCTTATTTAATATTTATCTACAACTTTGCAAAAAAAAATACCATAATTTTAATCGAAATTATATAAATAAATTCAAATTTTGGTGAAAGTACGTATCACAGTGTGTTATAAATTAATTGCATTTGAAATTCAAATACAGATTTACATTACATTTACATTTTTATAATTTAAATTTTTTGTACACATATAAAAAGTTGATATGTATACACATAAGGGTATATATATATATATATATATATATATATATATATATATTTCAAAGTAACTAGCAGCCCATTCGTCGAAATAAAAAAAGTAATAAAGTATAAAAACTTTTATTTATACGTTTCGACACAAGATGCGTGTCATCATTCAGCAACTACAACAATTTGAAAATTTTATTAACTAATATAAACAACAATAAAAATTAATTAAAGCATAGAGAAACATTATACATACCACAGGACAAAAACACTCAACAAAAATTTATTTTAAAAAAATTAAACTTAATAACAATTAGAAAAAAACATTTTTTAGAAAAAATTATGTATAACTAAAAGATTTGAAAACTAATTTTACTAAAAGTTATGAAATACATCATTGTGTATATTTATATTTATATTTATATTTATATTTATATTTATATTCATATTTATATTTATATTTATATTTATATTTATATTTATATTTATATTTATATTTATATTTATATTTATATTTATGTTTATATTTATATTTATATTTATATTTATATTTATATTTATATTTATATTTATATTTATATTTATATTTATATTTATATTTATATTTATATTTATTTATATTTATATTTATATTTATATTTATATTTATCTCTTATAAGAGAGTTAATCAACATATTTATAATTTAAAAAATCCAAACCAATTCAAAACGATGTTTTCAGATCATATGCTCAATCTCAATCACACTTTTAACACTTCACATCCTGTTATTCTTTATATCGAAAAAAATAGTGACCTTAGAAAATTTGCTGAATCCTTTTTTATTTCATTAAATTCCTCCTCTTGTGTTAACAAACGCAATTCATCCCACCTTTTACATGATATTTACCAGATAGTTATTGATTTTATTAAAAAAACAAAAAATTAATTTGCTTATTTATTATTTTTTTACAATTTTGTTTTTTTGTTTTAACTTTTACTTGGTTTGCTTTTTCCTTTTGATCAATCCCAGTTCAACCTCTGTATTCGATGCGTTTCTCATGCCTCGTAGAATTTGTCCTTGATGCGTCCCCTCCCATTCCTATCAACACGCCTATTGAAATAATTCAGTCGAGTCTAGATGCTCGGTATGGGCGTGCTTCTAGCTTCACAATGATGTATTTCATAACTTTTAGTAAAATTAGTTTTCAAATCTTTTAGTTATACATAATTTTTTCTAAAAAATGTTTTTTTCTAATTGTTATTAAGTTTAATTTTTTTAAAATAAATTTTTGTTGAGTGTTTTTGTCCTGTGGTATGTATAATGTTTCTCTATGCTTTAATTAATTTTTATTGTTGTTTATATTAGTTAATAAAATTTTCAAATTGTTGTAGTTGCTGAATGATGACACGCATCTTGTGTCGAAACGTATAAATAAAAGTTTTTATACTTTATTACTTTTTTTATTTCGACGAATGGGCTGCTAGTTACTTTGAAATATGTTTCAACGTCGAAAAAACTATCAAGATATATATATATATATATATTTATATATATATATATATATATATATATCCTTATCTATGATATATACATACAACTTATATTATATCTGAAAATTTTCTTAGGCCACATTCTATTCAATATATTTTTAAGAGGCATAGTGAACATAATAATTTCTAATTTTCCTATCTCATCATATAGCAAAACTTATATTCTCTATTAAGCATTTTTATCCTATTCCCAATTGTTTAATGCAATCATATTCACCTTAAATCCATAATTTGAACAGGGGCTTGTTTATCGTATTGCACATGGGGAGCAGTCTGAAAACAAAATCAATAATCAAAATTGTAAAGAAAATATAAAAAATTTAAAATAAAAATTGAAAAAAAAAACTTGAATGAAGTATTTTAACTCAGTTAGAAAATTCAGTAAGATGGCATATGAATATATATTCAGCACAAAAATAATTGAGATACTGTATTTTGATATACAAATAAAACCAGAAATTATAAATATCCTAAAAAGTTGATTTTTAAAACCACAACTGTTCATTAAGTAGTGGCAATATATTACTCTTACCATAAATAGAGGAGGTTCATTTGGATGTGGATGAAAACCTTGCAGTCTGCATTTTTGTATAAACTCTAAGCCATATTGTGGTGTCAGACAAAAGCATCCAGTTCTAACCAATAAGAAATAATGGCATTATATAAATGATAAAGATGTACTTACATTCTAAACATATTTTAAAGACATTACTAACTCTTGGTATTTTGGGGCACAAACTATAGCTATTGCTTCTGGCATCATAGTTTGATAGGAGCAGTGTGTATGTAAATCGACCGAAGATAAAAAGGCCGTTTGGCTAGGATGTGTCTGAAATTAAAATGATTGCAATTACTATAGTAATTGTTATTATAAAATAAATATTTCAAGCGTGAAGTTCAAATCATATATACTTCAAAACCTTGAATGATAAAATACAAAACTTGAGTACAATCGAAATCATCTTAAATTATCCACACCTTAAGATAGATTTATTTTTGAGCATCTGCAAGCTTTTGAAACCAGCCAAAGTTTTTTATCTATACATATTTGAGTTAGAACAGGTTTATAAACTAGTTCATTTAAAAATAATTGCTTATACATAACTACATAAAGCCGAAAAAGTAAATAAATGTAACCTACATGAATCCATCCTAATGTTATAAGCCCATGTTGATCTTGAAAATCAAAAATTTCTTCTTCATTCATAGTTGTGCATGAATCACTTGTTCCACATTGTTTTGGAAGAATAACATGAGATATTGCAAACTTATTTCGAGACTAAAAATAAAATTTTGAAGAGTATTCTTGCATTGAATAATTATTATAATATTACAATATTCAATATCATACAAGTTGTCCTGCCAGAATTCCACACGTCTCAATGTTTTTATCGGTATTAATTCGTGCTAGTGCTAAAAACTTATCCATTAAACCTGAGGGTATCAGAACTGATCTTAATGTACCCCCTAACAATCCACTATTATCTATTGGTTTAACACTTCGGTCTATGCTAGGCCTAAAAAACAATTTATTTGAATATAATCATTGATAATTTGAAATAATTTGAATATAAGTGATATTTACAAATGTTTTAAATAATTACAAAATTGCATTTGTTTTAATTATAGATGATAAATCAAACAAGAATAGATTTTAATTAGTAGTTCATACTTAATGATAGTATTATAGAAAACGATATAATTCAATATACTTCTTTAGTACATTTTTCTATAGAATTTGAGTTTCATTATTAATGGAATTGATTCTTACCCTGGTGGTTTAGGTTTCACAGTATCTTGCAAGACTAAACCATCTGGCAAATTTGGTCTTTTTTGATCATTTGGAAAATCATCAGGATAAACAATACTATCCAAACCAATTAATTTATCTGGTCCAATAACTGAATTAAAATTATATGCTTCTTGAGATGCATCAGATTTTAATTTATTTTTAATAGTAGAATCAGTATTTTCTTCTCTTTTCTTAAGTGTTGCTTGTAATTTTGCTTGTTCTTCCAGATATTTATTATGTTCTTTTGTGTAATGTTCTAATAAAATTTTCTTAAGTTTTTCTGCTTTAGGCATCACTTTGTGCAATTTTTCTTGAATGGTTGCTTTTGATTCTGCAGTAACTGTTGAAAACTCAGGATGTTTACGAATTTTTTCAATGAATAATGTCATGAATTTCATATACAATATGTAGGCATTTTCAAAGCTTCCTTCTTGTTCATAAACATTACCCATTCGAACCATTTCTAATCCTGACCGATAATAACTAAAAATAATGCAATCAGTTGTATTTGTTAAATAAAGTATCAAATAAGTATTATGATTGTATATTTCTCGATAAGTAGCAATTATTATGCATATGTTGAATTGTGCAAAAAGTGTGTGAATTGCTGCTCTTGAACTTTTATGGTTTAATAAATCACTAATCTACTAATTTCAATGATAATATATAAATCGTATATAGCAAATGCCAAAAGTGTCTCCAGATTTGGAGATAACAAAATAATAATTTAAAATTATTGTTAATCATACAAAAAAGGATCTATGCTAGTACTATATACCGTCTAATTGGAACATTAGGATCAATATCGACAGTATTTCCATAATTGGCGAGTTGTTTAACTCTAGCATTAGGCTCTGCAAATCCTAAGTCGGAAGCAGCATTATATTTTGCTGGTAAGTCTTGAGATTGTGACATTTTAATACAATTTGCAAGAGAAATTCAGTGAATTTTTGTTACCCTTGTCATTAGAATATTATTTATATGAAGGTTATTTTGCACTACTAAATAACCTCATTAAAACGCATATTTAATTACTAAAATCACAGTTATAAAATAATAGTCATATATAATCGTAAATTATTAAAAACGATCCGTCATAATAAGATACATAAAGTTTGAGTATCGATGGATGCATCATTGTTTGTCAAAGTGTGTGACTAACATGTTCAAATTTGGGCGCGAATACGAGCCCAAACTCGATACGATGACTATGACTAATTTTTAAATTCCCCCTTTAAAAAAATATATATTTAAAATTTTCATTCTCTTATTCAATGATGGGATGCTTTCTTCTTCGGGAACTTAACCAAATATTATTCAAATCAAACATTCAACCATTCAACTGGCATTAAAGAATTTGAGTAACCCTTTAATAGCATTGAGAATATGGTATGAATTCTATTAAAATAAGCGAATATTAATTTTATTGCTAAAACTATAGCAAACATTCTCTAAAATTCATGACTCTTCAGAATAATAAAATTGATGAAATAATTAACAACAGAAATATAGTCTTAAATTTTTTATTCTTTAATTTTTTTTATTATTTTTCTTTTTTGACTTCTTCTTAGGAGGATGACTAAAATCCTGATCTGTTTGTTGTTCACCCAGTCGTTTCTCACCACTATAAAACATTAAATAGAATTATAATAGGCAGTACATGGTAATTCAAGATTATAATAAAATATATCTTTTTTTTGAGCATTTATATATATATATATATATATATATATATATATATATATGTACGTGTGTGTGTGTGTGTGTATAAATTAAACAAAAACCAAGCAGTCTCAAGTAACAATTAGAGTCAAAAATAAAATATTAACCTTTTTACTGAAATAATTCCTTTAGATCCAACAGCAATAGCAGCTTTCCAGTCTTGCTCCGTTCCTTTTATTTTGTATTGTTCTAAATTTTCTTTCTTCAATTGTGCTAATTGTTTTTTCTGCTTCTTCTCCAGCACTTTAGCCGCTTCATTCAGTTCTTCTTGCATGCTTTGAACAAGTGGCTGCATATGCGATGTATCTTGCGGTTGCAACAAAGCATCGCTAATTTTCTTCTCCATAATATTCATAATATACTTGACAATCTTTTTCACAGCATCAAAGAATTTTGCAAGAATTTGTGATCCCGGAAGTCCTAATTCTGTTGATAATTTATCCACATCTTTGTTTTGGAGACCGATTCCCAAAAATATGGCCTATAATAAATAGGACAAAAATGCATTTATCATGCTTTCAATTCGTTTATATGAGTAACATGAGGGTACAAAATATAAAAAAAAACTAATATTGGACATAAAAAATTATATTAATCTCCACAAGTCTTGATTTTTGCCAGTTCGTCAAAACTATCAAAAAAATATGACAATCTTTGGACTACTATTGACCAAGGTCATTTTTTCAAAAATATTTTCAATGAAAGTGCATGATTTTCATACCTGTTGTAATGCATCCAGTTTCACATCACTTGGTATATATTTATAAAAATATAAATGAGCTAAATCTTCCGTCAAATCTACTATCAATCTGTAATCAACTAAATTCCTGCTATAGTTTTCTAATCTTGATATATCATGTGGTGTTAAAATCGTATCTAAAAACTCTTGTGTCAATGAAACTGCTGCAATATTTATAGCTTTGTTATCTAAAATAGATAATCCTAATCCCACTTTAAATTCACTGAAAGCTTTTCCTAACAGTTTGATAAATCTGCGCCGAAAGTCAATAAAATATTCAGATAACCATGTAGCTGGTATTTCATCTTCTTTATCCAGTTTTTTCAACATTATGCAGGAATGCTCTCCTGTTAAATCATTTGTTTTTTGCCTAAAAAAATATTACAATATTATAACAAGCATTTTTACACAGAAATAAATACTTTTACTATTGTGGTCCTGAGAACAGGACCTCTCGCTAATCTGACAGTATTAAAAACCAGAGGGTTTCGAATAACTGAATTAAAGTAAAAAATTCATAACTTTTAGCATATGATACTGAAAATAACGTTGAAATTTTCAAAAATTTACAAAGAAAAATTAATCGCTAGAGTATCAGGTTATTGGAGGTGCTGGTTTATTAAAGTGTCGGTTTAGTGAGATTTTACGTATGATCATGTCTTACCCTATGTATACAGGTACAAATTGTTTAGACTTCCAAAATTTCAATAATTCTTCTGTTAAACCAAAAGAAGTACCTATATAATCTAATTTTTCTGGTGCTCTCTCACATAATTTCTTCAGAAGAGTAGGTACATTTTTTCTTGGTGCTAAACATTTTCAAACAATTCCATTAATAACATAGTAAGTAATAAAAAAATTTATATTTTTGTATGTAAGATGTTTCTTAATGATAAATCAAACACATATGAGATAAACAAATAATAATTTAAAAAAAAGTACAGTAATTTTCTATATAACACAGAGTTGAAGATGAAGAAATTAATATAAATATGGATACAAATTAAATATAAAATAATGTTATTCCAAAAAATAATAAGTAATAACTTACTAATAGTTTCTGTGAGCAACGAAACTTGTTCATCATCTATTGTCTCTATGCCATTTGTTTCTTCCACAAAATCTTCATCAATATTTGCAATTTTTCCTTCATAATATTCTATTAAAATTTGTATTGCACGCTTACCATATCCCATCTGTAAAAAACAAAAGCTTTTATGTAACTTGTGCAAGGAAACAAAGCTTAACTGGTTAGGAAATTTTAGAAATTAAAAATATCACCATAAATTATTTATTTGAGCAGCTCTAAAAATATCATAAAGATGAATTTCAAGCAGCTTATTCATGTTTTCAAATCTGATTTATACTAAAGATATATCATTACAGAGATGAACATATATTACCCGCTGATAATTAGGATTTGTTGCTATTCGAACAATTCTAGCTCCTGCTAATTTTGGAAATTCTTTGTCATTGAACTGTTCTGAAATATTCCATGGTATCAAATCTCCAGCTGCCTTCTTTCCTCTTTGCATACTTTGACTAATAGTATTTGAAGATATTTGGCCTTCTAGACAAACTTGCAGAACAACTAATACTTCTGGTAAAGATCTTTGAGCGGGATCCACTGGTCCCAGTAAACAAAACAAGTGATGTGCAGGAGCATCTGACATCATTTGCAAGTCATTTGGGCTGTTCTATTTAACAAAAAAATATCCGAAGACATTGAATGGCATCATAAATGATAATTATAAATATATAATACAAATTAATACATACCTTATAATGGGAAGCAACATAAATGCTAACAAGTCTTTGTAGAAAAACTTCAGCAGCTTTATGATAACAGAACAAAGCATCTCTATCAATGTAATACAGATTACAGCTGTCTGGAGGAGGACATCCCGACATTATTGGAGGTACATTGGATACATCTAAGCATAGCAATCCCATTAACCAACGCTCAATTTCATCACCAGGTGAGTAACGTATTGATTCATCTAACTTTATCTGTAGAAAAGTTTAATTGAAATTTAAAATCAAAACAGGAAAGACTTGAAATCAAATAAAGTAAAATTATACACTATAATCTGTCATTGAACTTACCGGAGGTGGTGACTTTGAATCTTTCGCTAATTGTTGTAATAATTTTAGAGACAATGATCGACCAGTGCCTTCATATCCATTTATAGTAGAAGATAAAAATATAAGATAAGGCCCAATCATGGCACGAACCAAGGGTAAAGGAATAGCAGCTGCCTCATCTATTACTAATAAATCTGCTGCATTTAACAAATGCGAGTCTGTTGGAAGCACATACTGAAATATAGGAAAAAGTCTTATTAATATGTCAAATAAAATTTATAGTTAAAATTATCTAATGCATAATAAATACTAAATTCTAAAAATATTGTTCAATGTAATAAATTTTTACCTGTATTGTTTGTCGATTGTGCCTGGTAATATTAATCCTAACAACTGCTTTTTTAAATTCTGGATTTGTTGATCTAATAATAGTGTAGTCAGTATGCTCTTGGTAATCAAGAGCATCAAAACCCTTGAGTACAAATTCAAATAATGTAATTAAATTTTCTGGAGAGGGTGATGTTACATAAATATTTACGTAACCAAATGCTACAGATGCTGCAATTGCTAAACCCATTGCTGCAGATTTTCCACGACCTCTAGCAGCAGTCAAAGAAGTTGGTGGGCTAAAATATTTAAATTATACAGCCAAACTCTATATAATAACTTGATTTTACAAGCAATTCCTGCCTTCAACTTAATTACTGTTATATTATATTATCATGCAAAATTTGATAAAACAATTCACTATAAGATAATTTTAGGAACAATATAAGACTAATATGTAAAAAAATATTATGCACACATTATTTACTAAACCAAGCTATATGTAAATAATAATTTTATTTACCGCAATTGTTTTTCAGATAGGGATTCTATAAATTGTGCAAGAGCTTTGCCTTGATCATAAGTTTTGCAACAATTAATTAATGGCCCAGCAGGTGGAGTGTCTCTTAAAGATTCTTTTAGATCTATCAATTGCTCTTCTTTCTCAGATTTAGTTATTGAACTGATATCAATAGGTTTGACTTCAGCAGTCTTTGAGGATAGTGGCAAAACGGTTAAATTATCATCCAGTAGTAAACACCTTTTGCAGTCTGCAAGGGATAACAAAAATCTGAAATCAATATATGTTAATGTAAACTAATACAACAAATTGCATGTTTTGTAAGTATATATTAAATTTTTTATCTACCTTTCATTAAATCTACAAGTGACATGTTGATGAGCCTCAGTTCTGTATCTTTTATGCACATCCATGCTCATGGTATATAATTGCTTTAAAGATGCAATACTTTTCAACAAAAATATTATTAAACCTCCTCCTTCTACAGTTTCAATTGTACGAGCTAAAAGATTTGGTGTTAAAGCCTCAAAATCCTGTAATACACACATCCCATATGTCTGACCCAGGATAGAATGTGTTTCAGAATAATATCTTCCATGGATGGTAGTTGATACACGAAATGTATCAAACAAATCAGCTTCATTTACATCAATTTTACCACTTAATATTTTCTTCATTCGCTTTTTGCCATGGCTGAAAATGATTATTAATGTGGGATTAAAGTAGCCAATATTTCAAATGTAAATATCTTCGTAATTATTTTAATTACGGAATTAAGACCAAATATTAAACAATCATAATAAATTCTTCACTTCATTTTTAAAATCAACATTTGCATGAGTTAAATAGATTAATTCTATAGAAAAATATATAAATATAGATCTTATTACCAATATATTGACAGACAAACAAATGTTTGTGATTAAGTCGTAGTAATCAGTATCATCGTAAATATATTAATTAGTAAATTATGAATTAGTTAACTACTAGAAAATTGGAAAGATATGTTATAATATTTTATGTTAAATAATATATGTTAATTATTAGCAATAACTTATTACATACTTGCTTATAGCCTCGTCCTTCGTCTTATAACACCAAAGAACTGATGGTCTAGTTTTCACAGTAGATTTCGTCAATATATCAAATAGAATTGGTACCTAAAATAATATTAAATAAGTTTAAACCCAACAATTAATGTATTCAAAAAGATATTTGATGATATATTACTTGATCACGGCCTTTATCACCGACTATTACAAACATTGTCCTGTGCTCCAATTTAACCCCATTTTCTATCATTACTCTAATTCGATTGTCAATCTTTTTCTTAACCATTGTTGTAAAATGCGGCACAAAAGTTCAATAATGTAGTATAATAATTATTAGTTCAATTTAACCACAACTAAATAAAATAAAGTCACAATTAACCTATAAAATTCTCAGACAAGTCAAACTGTTTTAGCACGTGGTGCTTATTTTGAGTTTGCTCGTTTGGTTTAACTGACCTGTTTATTACCAGATGCTATTTAAAAGATAAAGGTTATTGCACACCAAAGCGGGTTTTGCAAATATGAAAACCAATTTTAAATATTTGAAGATTAGATCCAATTGTACTTGTTTATCCATAATTAAGACATTTTTAAAATTTGTTAATTAATAAAATAACTAATAAAATCTGATGTTGGTGTTGAACACATCAACAATTAATTTTGAATATTATATTCTCAATTTGTCTAGACACACAAAAACAATGGTTTGTTATTTTTATTTTTCCATCGTTTAAAAGGCATTTTTATTTAGGCAACTGTATTTTCAACTTTAGTCAGAGATAAATAAGTCGTTAGTATTATGTTAGATATTATAGATAATTTGAATTAATAATTAAGATGGTAGATATTTTCTTTTATTTTAAAGTTAGTGTTAAATGTAATGGAAACATTTATTCATTTTCTGGAAGTAACTGGGGAATTTTAATTATTATATTTTTACATTATATATTTAATCATCTGCCTTTTGTTAGAGTATTACTTGGGCGGTGTAGATGGGCCTTTACATTTTTCTCCCATTCTAGATGTTGAGTGAAGTTTGTATGTTTACAAATCTTCTGACAAATATGAAATTTTAATGTGATGCAAAATAGAAAAGTACATTTTATTTATTTAAATATTGCTTAAATATGCGTCAGTGACAGTGTTTATTATGATATCAATGTTTTATCGCGTTTTTCTATAAATTTTTAGTTTTATTTATAATTCACGATGGAAAAATCTGGAACCTCATTTCTGTACAAATTATTACCTATTTTATTATTTGGATTATCTATACCATTATCAATGCTATTATGGATAGGAAATATATCTTATGCAGCTATTACAAATAATTCAGAAGGTATTTGATTTTGAATATTTATATTTTATGATTTGATGATTAATTTGGTTTTCAACTGATCTACTTTCACTTCTTTAGTATTTTCTCTTTAAAACATTGAAGATACCACTTTCTTTATATTTATTAATCAGGTATTACTACATGTGTGTAATCTTAACTATTACAAGGCATTTTCGCATTTCTAGAAAAACATTTCAAATATATTCTGAAAAAAATTGCTCTGCTCTTTGCACTATAATAAAAACTATTATGAATACTAATAAATATATTTAATTTTGCATATTGCTTTTAAAACTTCATTATACATTCTACTACAATTTTCATATATGTTTTCAAAGCTACCACTTGGTAACGTGAATGCAATTGTAAATATTATTTTTATCACCATATTATGTGAATAAGCAATTATAATTAAAATCTTATATTTTCTATTTTATAATATTGATAAAGCTATTATTTTTGTCTCACGAATCTTTAGGAATTATTATGGGGCTGAATCTCTGTTTCTACTTTTACAAATTCAATTAATTATATTGTTGTACCAATTTTCAGTAATTCCTCCGACTCGCTGGCTAGTGGCTACTTTGGGACCTATGTTTTTTATCGCTTATGGTTTGAAGCAAAAAAGTATAGATTATTCTGGAGCACTTTTGGGATTTGTAACTGGGTTCTTATTAGCATTGAGCAATTATATATTTTTCACTTGCCTTATTGCATTTTTTGTCTCTTCTTCGAGAGCAACTAAATTTCGACAGCATTTAAAGTCAAAAATTGAAGATGATTTTAAAGAAGGTGGACAAAGGAATTGGATACAAGTACTGTGTAATGGTGGAATGGTCACACAATTGAGTATATTGTTTATTCTTGACTGTGGATGCGAAGAGCGACCCATAAACTTTGCAACTGATTACAGGGGCTCTTGGTTATCCATTGCAGTATTAGGTAATATATATATCACTAGTAAGGTATACAAAATCATGCATTTGTATATATATATATATATATATATATATATATATATATATATATATATATATACAAAAGCAAAATAATCATCCTTTATAAAGATTAATTGATACAACACACATCCTTAAAAAAATTTCTTACATTAAACAGTATTTGGCAAAATTAGCAGAGAATTGAAATGACAAACAGATGAAATTCTATTCATTTTCTAGTTTTTATAATTATGAATGTAATTGTAAATGTTTATCATAGATTCTTAGGATACAGAATTTATGAATATTAAAATACATAGGAGCATTTGCTTGCTGTAATGGAGACACATGGGCTAGTGAATTGGGAACTGTGATAGGAAAATCCGAACCGAGGTTAATCACCACCTTGAAAAAAGTTCCTAGAGGTACAAATGGTGGAATCTCTGTAGTAGGTTTATTTGTAAGGTAAAAATTATTTATTTTTATGGTTAAATATTATGAAATAATTTTGTGAAACTCTGTGTTGATCATTTATTTCTACACACTTTGAATATAATTTCAACAAAAGTTCTTTAATATAATTGAAAATGAATTAGAAAAGAAATATTTTATTACATTTCTATATGTTTTAGTTTTTCTACTTTTTATTTTGTTTCATATTACTGGTTATGATTACGAAAACGTTATTTTTAGTTTTCTAGGCGGATTATTAATAGGCCTTAGTCAATTTTGTGCAACTATACTTTTTGTTGATTCAAACATTTTGGCAAATAGCCCTCCACAATGGCCACTTATTTTATATGGGGGTTTTGGAGGTTTATTTGGATCTATTATAGATTCCCTTTTGGGAGCTACATTGCAATATTCAGGTATATAGCAATTTATAAGATTCAGGAAAGTACATAATTTTTATTAATTCATTATTACTATTGCATAGGTAAAAGCTTAAGAGGGAAAATTGTTGAAGTCCCAGGTGCAAATGTAAAACATATCAGTGGGAGACGAATTTTAGATAATCACAGTGTCAATCTTCTCTCTAGTATAATTACAGCTCTCATTCTACCAGTTTTAGTGAATGCAGTTCATAATTTTTGAATAATTTTAATAAATAGATTAATGTAAAAGTAATAAGATTACTGTGATGCATTTTAAAGTTGTCATTGCTCTTTATAAACCATGTATTAATTTGGAATGTTATGTTACATAAACACACATTATAAAAAACGTTTTTATGTTTAAAACAAAAACAATTGTTGAATTTTTTAATAAATACATGCTCTAATTTATATAAATATATGGCTATTATTAATTATTTCATCACATGATTTGTAGCATGTATATAACATACTTATATTAAGGAATTTTTGCAGATATTTATTTCCTAAAAATTAAACAACTTATGCATTTTAAATTAACTATGAGAATGCATGGATTAAAAATGTCCTAAGGTGCAACACCACAGGAAGGATAGATGATAAAATTAATGTTGAAGAATGCGAAAATGCGAAGTATTTAGCGAAAAATATGAAAAATTTATTGAACATGTTTATCTAGCAAAATACATATGTGTTTTTAAAACTAATGATGACAATTATTCGAATTAATGAAAAATTAAGAGTGTTGTTACCCTTTAAACACTTGAACTATTAAATACATAAGACTACATGTAGCATTAATTAAATATTAAGAATTTTTTAAATATATATTATTTGCACAATTCAGTGACACTGAATATCTAAACAAATTACTATAAAGGAAAATATAATGTTGAATATTTTATGTTTGTAACATAATTTGTACGTAGTATGAGGTCAAATCATTGTCGAATGTTACAAAAACCATAGTAAATTGATATGTGATGAAATATTTGTTTTTCTCTTTCACTTTAATATATTTTAATAATTGACAATAATCAACATGAACCTTAAGTATATTTGTACCATCATATTATTCATGCAATTTTCGGAACAGAACTTTAAATAAATACAAAGCCTCTGATGAGTGCTTGGAACATGCTATGCATGATCTAGGACATATAAACAAAAAAAAAGTATAAATTCTTTAATCTTATACTTGTTTATCGTTGAACTAATTAGATGAATATATTCTAGTTTAGGTATATAATATTTTCTTATCGTCCAGGGCTTTGATTTGATTGTATATTGAATAAAATATATTATATTTAGTATATTGATGTGATTATTGTATAAATACACAATGTATAACGATTGTAATGCGAAATTCAGGTTCAAACACCCGATTATTCAAATTCAAATTGAGCGCCATTAATTTGGAGGTGTATCATTTCTATGACGTCATTTTCGAATCAGCCACAGCAGAGACCTCAGCGATGAATGTATACGTTTAATGTCAAATTTGACGTTTATATTTTTGATACCATGCATTTTTATTAATACAAATACCTAGTAAAAATTAATTAAATACTTTAATGCATAATTAAATTTTTATGATAAATTCTAATTTTATTTTATTTTGAAATTTTAACATTTAACTTATAGTATGTTTAGTTCAAATGTTAATAGTGATGATTTGCATTTTCCAGAACAATGTACTGAAATAAGTAGAGAAGATAATGATAGAAATCAATTAATTGAAGTAGAATTAGGTAATTTTAATATAAAACGTTTATAGTGTTATATAAATAAAATGTCAACTTTGACATAAAACTAACAGATATTTTAAATACGATAGGCCATTGAACTGTGAATTTTAAATATTTAATGCTATATATTACTATATGTGTTAACTATATACATGTGCACTTGTTTTAGATTAAGCAATATAATATTTTTTTTAAGTTTCTTCTAAATTTATTAGTAATTAGAAATTATGCCTTACATTCATGACAATATAACTAGAGTAAAATGTAATATAGTATCTACCCAACATAATTTAAATGCAGCTAGTTTTGTTTTCTTTTTTTAGAAGATACAAAACAATGGTTCAAAACAAGATATATCCTAGGTATTATGGGATTTTTGGGGTTTGCAAATGTATATGCGATGCGAGTAAATCTTTCTATTGCTATTGTAGCAATGGTAAACAATTCTGCGATATCACATGAAAATTATACAGTCAGGAATTTGCTGCCCAGAGCAGCTGTTAATACTGCAAATTTAGTAAGTATATATATGTATACTATAGTAAAGCCGATTGGCCTATAAATAAACCATAAATAAATAAATAGTAATAAGTTATTCAATTTACTTGAAAGTAAGCTCATAAATAGTTATAAATGTATAGTTGTTTTCAAAATTGAAATATATAATTATATACATTTAATAATTTTTCAGGGAGAAGGAGAATTTGCTTGGGATGAAGCCACTCAAGGTGTGATATTAGGATCTTTCTTCTATGGCTATGTTTTAACGCAGGTGGGCGTTATATTGATATTTTATTTTGATAGCCATCAAATTTTAAATAAAGACCAATTTTATATTAAGGTTATAAAATGCGTTTAAAAAAATCCATATGCATGTTAAATTAAAGTAAGATTTTGTCAAGAATCAAGTTTAATACATTTAATAGAATCTGTAAATATTTTAATATAATAAATTTATTCTAATATCATGATTAATAAGAAATAAATAACAAAGACTATAGCATTATGAGGTTGATGTTAAGAGTTATCCTTTGTGCAGCAGCCCATTTTTCTTAAATTCATGAAATTTCATAATAAATAATATATTTTAACATATAGTAATGAAGAAGGAATTTCTAGAAATATTATCAATCAATAAGTTGAAAATAAAATAATAATAATTAGTAAAGGTTATTAGTTCTGTATGTTTAAATATATGTAATCATTAAGCAGTTCTGAATTAATATATAATTATTGCAATGCAAATACAAAGCTGAATTACACACCACAACAAGAAGAACACAATATTATCATTGCAGCTTTTTTACATTTACACACCTTTTTTACACTAAAAATTCGTTACATCTTTATACAAATTGTGATCAAACACACCAGACATATATCTGTCTGTGACCTACAGAATAAATATATTTTATTTTCTGTTGTTATTTTATTTTCAACTTATTGGCTGATATATATATATATATATATATATATATATTTGTTATAATATGAATGGAATAATAAAATTTGATACTACTTTCAGATTCCTGGTGGTCGTTTAGCAGAAATATTTGGTGGAAAACTCATCTATGGTTTGGGAGTTTTTATTACTGCGGTATTCACACTTCTCACTCCCATAGCAGCTAGAGTTAATTATTGGCTTCTTCTCGTTGTTAGAATTTTAGAAGGTGTTGGGGAAGGTGTTACTTTTCCAGCAATGCATGCCATGCTTGCGAAATGGATTCCGCCACTGGAGAGAAGTAAATTTGCTGCTTATGTTTATGCAGGTCAGTTTAATAAGAAACCTGGAAGTATTATAATACTTACAAAAAATATATTTCACATGTAATTAACGTATATGTTAATTATATGCAGTAAAAATTTTATACCTAATACATAAATTTTAAACCAGTTAGAAATAGTTTATGGTTATAGTTTGATATATTTATGAATATTGTAATTGTTGAGTTAGATATTTTTTTTAATAGTTTTAATAATTTTATATATTTTTAATTATTTATAGGAACTCACTTCGGAACAATAGTTTCTTTGCCATTAACGGGTTGGTTATGTACATTAGATTTATATGGAGGATGGCCACTAGCATTTTATCTATTTGGCATATTAGGTATTATATGGTTTATTGTTTGGCTCTATCTGGTATTTGATAGTCCAGTAGCTCATCCAAGAATTTCAATTGAAGAAAGAAATTATATTTTGGCAGCAGTAGGACCTCAGGCATGTCTATAATTATTATTAATATATTGATATTTATTTGAGCATTGTTTTAAACTTAAAATCAAAACATATTGTATTTTGAGTTTTTATCGGTGTTCTGTATCTTTGTTGAAATTTTACATTTAAATCTAGGATCCAGACGATTTTGGGGATGGAGTACCATGGCGTTCAATTTTGAGTTGTTTACCCTTATATGCTATTCTAGTAACACAATGCGGGCAAGCTTGGGCTTTTTATACAAACTTAACAGAGCTTCCAACTTACATGCAAAATATATTGCATTTTGAAATTGAACAGGTGATAGATATTAAACGTACATGAATATTATCTATGAATGACATTTGTCAAAATGCAAAAATTAATAATATGGTTTTTAAATATTTTTTCACTATATATAATGACTTTATTTCAGAATGCTATAATGATGTGTCTTCCCTATATGTCGGCATGGATATGTGGAGTAATATTTAGTACACTGGCGAGTTGGATTTTAGCTAAAGGATATCTATCCCAAGTTACTTCAATGAAAGTATTTAACTCTCTAGGTGAGTTATATGAATTATATTTTATAATATTTATTTTGTAATAAAACAGTAACAGTTTTAGATGGTTATTGCCATAGATGTTATTGCTGTTCAAGTGTCAGTGCTTGTAATTGAAAGAAACAATAGAGCTCTCATTTTTACAATTTTTCATTATGTTTACCTTACTTTTAACTACATTTGAACCATATATTCAGTTATGCGAAAGAAACTTAAAAGTTTTTGATTGAAGTTCTTAGAAAATTTATACAACCAACCAAATTATCCCATTTAATCAAAAAGCACAGAGTAAAAAAGCAAATTATTTCACAAATACCCTTTATGAATAGAATGATATTGAATTTGCATTTTTGTTACTCTTGGTTATGAGAAAGAATTAATGTAAAAATTAGATATACTTCCATATTTTTTCTGATGTAACAGAATTTATTTATAATTAGAGTTTGGAAGCTCATAATAATGCTCATCAATGTCAGTGAATAGCAGCAATTAGGTTACAATATTACTAGATTTATGCTCATGATCATTCTTAAATTGTTTTAATTTATTATTAGTCATTATAAAAACAACAGTTTTTATACAATGTCAGTTATGATCAAAATATTTTTTTTTCCAGCTTCCGCGGTTCCGTCTTTAGGCCTGCTGGCAATAGCATGGGCTGGGGCACAACCAACCGTGGTACTAACTCTGTTAGCACTCACTGGTGGTTTTACAGGTGCTCAATATGCAGGGAACCAAATGAACCACATTGCATTGGCGCCGCGTTATGCGGGTACTATGTACGGAATTACCAATGCTGTCAGTAATACTTGTGGATTTTTAGCTCCATATGCAATCGGATTACTGATCAATGGGAATGTGAGTAACTAAATTATTATTAAATGATTTCAGTTAAATTTTAAAATGACTTACAAATTTTATATTGTAAGAATTTTTGACCATTTATGCATACCATAGAACTATCAAATTTAAGTAAAGGCTTTAAATAATTTCTGTTGTATAGTAGAAAGGGTAATTCATACTTTTAGACATTAGCAGTGATATTTTTCGAACGGTTTTATTGGTTTGGGGTTTACTTTTTGCGAAAGCGTGGACTGATAATTTAGCTCTTGCTGCTACATAATTATAAATAACGGCTTGGCCTATCGGGATCCCTAGACACAACAAATTGATTTTATTTTTGAATTTGGTGCAGCTATTTTTTTGAAGAAAAAATAACAAAAATTGAAATTTATGTTGAAATATTGACTCCGTAGAATAATAATGATTATTTGGTAGCAACATGACCCACTCAAGAATATTTACTCACTTTAGTTGAAAAATCTAGACTTCATTAATTTTCTAGTTATTTATGATAAGGTATTTAAATTTGAAAGAATTAAATGAAGAATACTTTTCTGTTCATTAAATTTTGCGGTTTAGTTTGCAAGCATTTGATTATTGTTGTAGACTTGTGTTTGCACAAAATATTTGACTGGATTTCTATACCATTTGAATTGTGTTTCGAATACACAATATAATATCGGCATCGATTTTTATTTTCAGGAGACGGTCGATCAATGGCGTATAGTATTCTACTTAGCCGCGACCATAAATATGACTTGTAATTTGTTCTATGTATGTTTTGCTTCGGCCGATGAGCAGCCTTGGTCTAGAAATCCAATATCCAGATTGCGGTGACCGAATCATATATTGTCTAAATTGATTTTTTTTATATTATTCCTAGATCAATTTTCTTGGTTTTCTGATTCATGTTATGTGTGTTCACATATTCAAACCATTTGAAAACCTTGTTTTATAAATCATATTTTATATAATCACAGATCACATAGTGCCTCGATATATATTTATATATACAGTATATAAATATTTTACGTGATATTTTATGATACGCATTTATTCCAGTAAAGTATTGAAAAATTATGCATAAATAATTGCTACACTTTTAAATTATCCTATTTTTAAGTTGTGATGTGATTATTACGATTAGGTTATATATGTATATATATATATATATATATATATATATATATATATATATATATATATATAAGTTGATAACAATTGCCAAGTAGCCAATGTTTAATAATCAGATATAAGAACCGAATGATTAATCATGATATTACACAAAACAGAATAATCTGTTAAAGTACAAATATTTTCTCAGTAAGTAGAATTAATAGTTGAACTTTCGTTTAATGACAATGAAATAGATTGAATTGAATAGTTAATTTTATGCTTAATCTTAAATGCATTTATTCTAATGTTTTCTAGTTATATTCAGATTTTTAAAGTAATATTATATAGCCCATTTAATTCTAATATTTTGGGGATACATGTTATAACAAAAATATAGAAGCCCTTTTCAAAATATACTTTTTATAAGCATTACTTATTTCGGTTAATATTGTTTATAAAATTTAATTGCCAAGAACAGTTATTCATACCTGTTTCGAAAAAAGTATTAGTACTTTTTTATATATTTTATCTATGGCCTAAAGAAGTTGGAGTTATACTATATGATTTTTAAGAGTCATAGTTTGAACTATTTTTTAAGTGATTATGAAATCATAAAGAATTTATTAATGGCTATCTGATACAATTTTTAAAAATTTTGAAACATTGAAAATTATAACATGTGTACATATATAGCAAAAGTTGATTCGATTGAGATGAATATTCCAATTATTTTTAAATATATTAAAATGAAAATATCCAAGATTCTTATAACTGCATATGTATTTCAATTAGTTGCACGATTTTTTTATGCAGATATAATTTCTAAAAGCTCTCAAGATATTTTATTGTGATATAAATTTATGATGTATATTCCATCTATCATTTTGATATTATTAAAGTCGAATATAAATAAGATTAAATGACTACATCGTCTCTGTATGTGGATATTTAAATATCTATATGTGATCATATATAAAGCAATAGTATTAAAATAGTTTTTAAGCACTACATTCCATAATGTTCCAAAATTTGCTAAAACTTTCTGAATATTTGAAAGTATAATATGTGAAAGGTCATATTATGGACTACTATGAGAATAGTATCTAAAATACAAGGTAATTAATAATAGCACAGAACTTATTAGCAATTTGATTTTTTTTAAATTAAATTGAATTAGCTAGCAAATGTAAAACGTTGGGTCACCAAAGTTTTTAGAGTTAAAACGATCACATAATGATATCCTTCATTGAAAGTAATTAAATTAAATACCTGTTTAAAGTGAAATTGATCAGATCTACCAAAATGAATTAGATATACCTGAAAATATTTTTTTGCTTTAGCAAATGTTATGAAATTATTTTATAAAACAATTATATACATGGGTGATAAAAATGCACAAAGATTTTAATGTAGCTAAGTTTAAATAGCAGTAATAATTAAAATGAAATAAAACATGGTACATTTTTTAAATAATATATCTTATATAATCTTTACATACTATGAGAATATCTACATAGTAGATGTACATCATATAAATAAATCGATATGAACAATAAATAAATATTTTATATATAATTTGTTTGCATGTATACATGTGATAAACAACCGCTCCATTAATATTATTTACAGAATTACTGAAAAAACATTTTTTACTGATATATATTTTTTCTTCTACAACAGAAGTGTAATATTAGAATGAAATGGTATTGGGGTTGAACAAGTGGTTATAAACAATTCTGATTAAGTAATCTTTTTATATTCTCAAAATATAACCAATAATGAAAAGTAGTCTACATAAATTTATAAACATAGAATATCTAATTTTTCTAAAAAGTAAATCTCATGTCTTTAGGTATACTCTTATTCATGACAATAGCGCATGAGCGCGACCTAAAGATTAAATTTTTTTTTTACAAAAGTTTATGTATGATCAAATTTTTATTTGCAACAATTATATTTTGAGAATATAAACTAACATGTAACAAAAACATATTGACTAAATAATATATGAATACAGTTCTCTTACGTTTTTACAAAAGTGAATGGATATTTTGTGCCATTTACTAAATATTTGATATTGAAGTATTGACTTATTTAATAATTTTATTAAATTTATTTTACAGTAATGGATATATACTACAACACAAGTATAAAACATATCCCGTTTATAGAATAAATTGTTTTGTTCAGACGCACACGCACACTTATAATTATAAATCACATATTTTAGTGTTTTATTTCTTATGTATTTATTAAAGTTCAATTTAATCACTTAATTAGTTTACCTTCGGTGTCATTTTTTGATTTTCAATACAATTTGCATTTTGATTATAGTGCTCGTAGGTAATAAAAGAAATTATTTTATTAATGAATCATCTTATGATTTTTAAACGGCACTTTTTATAAAGTTTTTATAATTAACACTTATAAAATAAACTCAATCTTATTTTTATACGTGTAAATGATGAATCAATGAATTTTAATTAAAATGTGAACATCGCAAAAAGCAACTTTTTTAAAATTGAAATACTTCCGCCTTTCCTAAAAGTAATTAATTTTTTTCCAATTGCCCAAATTAGCTAAATTTGACATATTTGTTCGAATCTTCATTAAATAGTATTTTGCTTAAGTATGATTATTTTAAAAGTCCATTCGAATAAATTGTGGGTAGATTAAGTTGATCATTTATTACTTCAATTTTTAGCCACATACATTGAAATATAGATTTCATTTATATCAATCAAAACATATTTTAATAAATAATTTATTATTTCTTTGCATTCTGCACAATATATTTTAACGAAACAGACTAAACCTTTTCATAGTATATAAATTTATGGTAATTATATTAATTTCATACGCTGAAGTTTTATTTTCTTTTTTGTAAAAATGGCATATTAAAGTCTCATTTAATATCATTTATAATATTGTAATTGGTACAGTATATTTTAGATATATTTCTAATTTATACATTTAATATTTAACGAAGTTTACCATCACGATAGAAAACAGTTTTTGTTTGATTTATTCAAAATGATATCAATAATGTTCAACTGATTTTAAATTATTTATCTTGCAGATGTTTCATACACAAAAACACTAAATTTATTATCGTCACACTCTTAATTCATCTTGCTGATGTTTTGGCATCCTACCCAAAGTACCACCTCTTTGTGGCGGTGGTGGTGGATTTCTTGGCATCGTACCACCATATTCAACTTTTCTGAAATAGATGGAAAATAAACATTCTATATTTTTTATAAATCGAGATAGAATTTGTGCTGAAATACCGCCGTTTAAAATATAAAAATGCGATATGTTTGAAAATTTGAATGTCTGCATTATTGAGGCTATTATATTATTAAAGTCAAGAAGAGAAAACAAGGTCAACAAATGGGACGTTTATGGTCGCAAGGTTCTATCAGATTTTTTAGTATTTGATATAGAATTTTGACCATAAACATACAATTTGCTTGCCTTATGGTCTGCTTTGGACTTTGTGGTTACACATATTGATCAACTTTTTTCTTTTAATTGTTTTTGGCAATGAAGTAGTACATATATCGTGCTTGGCAAATGCAAAATTGTATATGAAATTCAGCACAAAGCATATGAACACAATCAACAAATTTTGCATGCTCTACATATTTTTATACTACATTTGAAGACAATTGTAAAGTACCCTTAGACGTAACTAAATTATATTTCACAAAGATATCATAGCGTCTAAATGTTAAAAAGTGTTTATTATTATTTATTGATTTATTTTATAAAAGTGTTTGTTTTACCTGTTATTTAACATAGCATTATTATGATGGTGTCTTAGTTCTAACTCATCCAATCTGGTCAGACCAACAACTCCGACACTGCCTGGCGGAGGCGGTGGTTTTGAAGTCAGTGTGATCATGGCCGTGTCACCTGGATGACCATGGTGACCAGGATCAGAGCTCAGCATCAGTTCGCCACATATGCTATTTGCTAGTGTTCCATTCTCTTGACGCTTTAGATAAAAGATTAAAATGTGTTATAAGTGAGGCATTGTTTCTTTATTTTAAAAATCTATTTGAATCCTAGAATTTTAGAAAAATAGGTTTTAGAATTTAGGAAGATAGCTGAATATCATATTCAACCAATTCTCATTACAATCGAAAATAAAAAATTAGAAATCGAATAAAGAATTAGGAAGATGTTTGGCTGAATCATATTTGGCAAAGATTGTTGACATAAAAAACAAGTTTTATTATGCGTTAGTATTCAAGGATTTTTTTATTGAGTATTTAAAAAAAAGTAATTGTATATGAAAAAAATTGTAGTTTATGCCAGATTAACTGCTATAGACAATGGTCATCATCATTTGATGGGTAAAGCCTATATATAAAAATTTAGAACGAAGCATGTTATATTTTTAGAGCTTTTATAATCTTCTAGAAGATTATAAATAATATAGAAGACAATATATATTAACTAAAAATATAACATGCATTGTTCTAAATTTTCAACAGCTATTATCTTACCTGTCGTTTCTTAGCGTTTCCCGTGTCGCGCCTTTGCCTGGCGTCATGCAGTCTCGTCTTATCGCGCTGATAATAAACACCAGCAAATACGAGAACGTTTAATATCAATAAGGAACATCCAACTGCTATTGTTACACTTAAAGCTGTTGAATATGCAGCAAATCCGTCGTCAGACAGACCATTCTGTGGAAACATCCAGCATTATTATAATAATAATAAATAACTATAGTTTATTGATTATAGGACAGATAGAATGTTGTTGATAAGGTAAAATATGGTTTGCAATTGTAGAGATATGATAATTTGGTGCGATGTTGATTCATAAACAATCAAATTTGTATTTTATTAATTTTGAATAAGTTCCATCGTTGGTAAGTGGCTATAACGACTAGACGTGATTTGGAGGTACTGGGTTCGATCCCGCTTCGAGCAGCCTGTTGTCAAGCACTAGTGACAACGGCTTTCACTTGGAAATATGGATAGCAATGTGTTTCCAAGTAAAAATGCCTTTATCCGGTTTTGCTACATCAATAAATATTCGGCCTATTAAAAAAATTCTGATAATAATTTATTACACAAAGATGGGACAACTTGTTGCGCTTGTGCTGCCATTTGTAGAACAGTCTAGTTTAAAGTCAAATTAGCGCAATAGCTCTCAAGTTCTGATTGCTGTTCATTGTTTTTATTTGGACAACAATCAGAACTTAAGTGTTTTATGAGTGATAAACTTCTTATAAACTACGTCCAATCTCTATGTGATGAATTTTTATTATTACATTTTCTATAATTTTCTATAATTTTCTATAATTTTATTATTATTACATTTCTATAATTTTCTATAATTTTCTATAATTTTCTATAATTTTATTATTACATTTTCTATAAATTTTTATTATCATTGACCCCGCAGAGCCAGCGAAGTGCTATTTTCACTTGGAAACATATTGCTATCCATATTTAGCAGTTGTAACAAATATAGTAATTAAAAAAATATATATTTCCTAGGGAAAACTGATGTCACTACTGCTTAATATCAGGCTGCTTGAAGCGAGAATATAATAATGAATGAATATTTATAAAATAATTTAATTTACCATTTAAAGATTTGCAAGTTCTGAAGAATATAAGCAGGTAATATAATAACTATTTTGAAGCATATCAATACCTGTGATCCACCAACGTTAATTCCTGCATTTCCATAATTTCCAATATTTGTTATATTTTTCAATCCTATTATTGTTGATCCTATTTCATTATCCCTAGAACCTGGCAGGATCTCAGTGTTATCACTATTATCAGCTTTTGCTGCAGACCCAGTATTTTGTGTTGCCGTCGGTCTCCCAGGTGTAACCTGTAAAATGATGTTGAATTTTAATATTTTTTAAATTCTTATTTTGAAATATCATCAAAAGAGCGCATACCATCCAAACACTCTAATAATAGATCTGCTGAAACAAGTACCAACGAGAAGATTAAAAAGAAAGTGGCCGCAAGATTTAATGAATTAACAATCAATATATTTATGTAAGGAAATTCCCCACTGGGGGAATTTCTAAAAACCCTGTGCCCGCTAGCAAATAACCTCATTGAACCCAAGGTTCAAATTAGTTATAAGAATAAATAAAAAAAAAATCTTATTTTGGAATTACAATCAAAAATTAACTGTTATATAAATTTTGTTATTTTTTTATTCATATTTTTTAACATCAATCAGAACCTTTTCGTCCTAAAGCTGTTGGGTTGAAACTTTTCCTTATGTCGTATTTTTAGATGGTAACCCAACAGTTGATTCATCCATATTTGATTACTTTATTACTAGAATTTATCTAATGGGGCTGACTTATTATTCAATTTGGTACAGCTATTCCCGGGAAGGGCTATTTTCACTTGATTGATTGATTATATATTTAATACCTATATTCAAAACAATAAATGAAAGTTGATACTCATTGTACAATAAAAAAAAATAAAAAAATTATTTAGTTCTTTGTCTTCGAAGAAGTTTATTATAATGGATATATAAGAGAAAAAGGATTAAATTTATTTACTTAATACTAAAACCTAAATTAGTCTTTCCACATTTTTTTATTATTAACTTCCCGAAGGAGAAGTTTACGTTTTCATAAATTAATTTATTTTTTATAGAGTAAGTCGATTAATTGTACATATCGGGAAGTTTATGTAACTTGCCTCAAGGCAAAATACCAATACAAACTATTAACCAATATAAACTATTAAAACGTAGCTATTAAGATGGTCAGTCTAAATATAATAACGTGATTTTTTTAACTTCATCGAATGTTTTCTAAGTTATTCTTAACTTATTATTTCAACAAATATTCAGTGAATTTCTATTTGTTTTAATACCTGTGGGCCGCCGGCTGATGATCCCTGATTATTTTCGTCCAATATCAATTGATGATGCGAAGGTGGAACGTCATCTCCACCGGGTTTGTGTAAATCAGGAATTAAATTTAGCCAAAATGACAACCTATGTGCTCGGTAATGGTTTTTCAGTTTAGGTTTTGTATCTGAAAAAATATTATGTAATATTAAAAATATTTGTGTAAAGTTGAATTCTTTAAAAAGTTAAGTAAATAGGCTATAACTTTATTAACTTTTCGATAAAATATCAAAATTTGTATTTGATTAATATTAAATTTATAATAATAATGGATAGTACCGCCCTAGGGCAGGTCCGCGAGCTAAGTTAGACTCCAACTCGATTCAGTGAAGAACAGAGTATGATAAAGTTTATATACATTAATAATCTTTCGTAATAAGTACTGAATAATGGTGTAATTTATTTGTAATATTAGGTTTTAAAAATTTGTTCTAAATATTTTTTTATTCGATTCTCACCTATGTTGAGGTATTTTTTGTGAACGCTTTCGTAAGCCGTCCATTCGATGTTTCTTGCCCTTGATCTTTCTGCTTTTGCCGCCAATGCTGCATCAGCTGGGTCTGGAGCTTCATTAGGATTCCTAACAATAGATAAGTGAGATTTTTTTTTAAAAAAAAAAATGTAATACTGCTACAGGAATAGCTCTGAAGAATTTTAATAGTAATAGTTTTCAATTAACGTAATTATATGTAATCATTTATTATATTAAATTCATTTATGTTTGAAATATCGAAATATCGAAGGAGAAAACTTTAAGAATGGAAAATAGTTTATGAGTTAGGTTTCCTACGTATTTAAACATAGAGTTTTCTTATATAGTAAGTATACAAGTTTTTTCACTTACCCTGTTCTTGCAAAATTACTCCAGTACAACATAACGGTTTCAGACAGAAGAGATTCCGCCTTCGTGAAATTTTTCGCAAAATGACCCAAATTGCTAACCAAAGGTGCGCCAAAAACATACGGCAAATCTTCGCCATGAATACATCCCTGACGCTGTAAAAATATTAATTTCTTAATCAAATAAAAAAGATTGGTCGATTGTTTATAGACCATTTCAACTTAAATATTTAATAAAACGGATTTTTATATTAAGTATATCCTCATTTTACCACACGATTATATTCACATTTTTCCACGATTTTTTATGCAAACTTTTACAATTTATAATGATATTAAAAATATTACTTGTATAAATCGATTAGATATTGACACAAAATAGAAATATTTTTACTCTTATAATATCAATTATCAAGATTGTTCTAAGATCAAGTATAGTAATCAAAGTAATAGTAAATTATTAATATTGACTAAAATCTCTAATTTATAAATCACAACGAAAATCTGGCAAATATATAATATTGTCCTGTTAGTATTTTATCTAATTCTTATATTATTTTACTATCATATTTTATATTAATTCGATTATCTATTCATGCTTGAGTAAATATTGGATCCATATTTATTTTATTTCATTTTTCGATTTTGTTTAGGAAATCAATGTAGGTGGCAGTTCAATGAAGTCTTGAATTACATAATATTTCATTGGAGTATTACAGTTAACGGTTTGTTCATGAAGATTAAAAACAGTTATGATTTACACTTATGCATTTTTCATAAAAAATTGAGTGTTATTTGCTTTCAATGTTGTGGACAGTGGTAGTTTTGTTAATTCTGCAGTAAGTAGTGAAATGATAAAATGATAAAAAATAACTATAATGAAGTCGATTTTATTACTTTATTCCTGTGGTTCAATATTACATACCTGTGGATAATCACCGGCACGTGTCTGATAGTCAAAAACATACAGGTACGAGTTTCTGTGATCTTGTGAATGCAAATCTGCGGTTCGAGTGGCAGGAGCAACTACTTGAGCGTCGCTCAATGCTTCCAGGGTTTCATCTCTGTTGTAATAAGGTAAAAAATTTTTTTTAAAGATGTATTAATGTACCTTATATAAAATTATTTCACTAGATTAATAAGTATTCGTTTTTTAAAGTTGTTGATATCAAAATTGAGTGAAACTGTGCAGACAATTAACTTTAAAAAATATACAATATGAGAGTGATTAACTCTTTGGGCACGGCTGCCCACCTGAGTGGACAAACATACTCTGTGAGGCACAGGCTATTTCATAAACAATGACTCAGTTTGCATCGAAAAGTTGAATAAATTACATATAGCAGTGATATTTTAGTTGTATTTTGAAAATAATTTTTAGTTATTTTAGTAGTGTTTTTAGCCTTTTTCTTTGCTATATAGTCTTTTTTTAATATTTAAAACGATCGAGCGCTTTCAAATATGGCAAAACGACTCGTAAATTTTGTGAATTAAGCAGTAGTGAAGATGAGTTTCAAATAGACATTCATACAGACAAATTTTACGAAATTACTATTCGCACCGAAGTTAGTGATGAATGTGATGATGATATTATCCAACCAACAAAAAGAAGAAGAAGTTCGACAAATTAAATGAATAGCGGAAAGACATTAGCGAATGTATCGATTCTCCTTCAATAATCGAGTTTGACATACATCAACCAACATCCGACTACAAATACCAAGCAATATAAGACATCCAATAGATTATTTTACTTTATATTTTACAAATGAATTATTAGACAATATAATAGAAAAAACAAACCATTATGGCAGCACAAAAATGAACAAATATACTGACTAATCAGTGGCATATTCTAAATGCGAGAGAAAGTAAAGAGGATTGTATTCTTTTCTGACAGAAAAGCACTAGGAGGCAGGCGGCGAACAACATTTTATTGTAAAACATGTCAAAATCAACCAGCTATGCAATTTGGAAATTGTTTTGAACGTCACCATTCTTTATAAAATGATCAAAAATAAGTTAATAATATAAATGTATGTCATTCAATGACCACAAATTTTTATCAAACAAATTGCATAACATACACAATGAAATCAAGTTTACAGCCGATACAGTAGATTGTTTTGAAATTAGAGCCGTCCCGTAAGTGTTAACTTCATTTAAAGCCTAACGAATAAATAAAGAAATAAATAAAATTAATTTACCATTATTCATTATTATATTCAATTTACCTTATATTAATCGGATGCTGTACAGGCCTTTCCCAATCCGTATATTCATTAATAACAGTCGCCAATATTTCGGCCAGGTGATATGTATAAGCTTGACTGACGAACGATTTTAGAATTTTATTTCTCCTCTCGGGCTCGATTCCATATTGGGCGTCGTCTCCGCTGAATGAAAAATATGCTTCGGCACGAGTCACGCCTAGCAATAAGTCGTACCTGGAATAAAATGCACAGAATTGCTGCTATGTCCCAATTCGCACTAAATTATTACCGTGAGACTGCAAGTTTGCAAAACCGCACAGCGGAAAGCCATTATTCAACTCATTAACGAGGTAACAGAGTAATAGAATTTAACTAGTCATTTGGGTTGCGCCTAAACAAATATAATTGGAATTTATGAAGGATTAAATGCTATTATTGGCGGGATTATGGTTTTTAATATAGAGTAATTATTATAATTCCAAAATTATATAAATAATTATTAATTAACATATTCAGAATGCTGTTTGTTTACATTACAAATGTTTTATTTGAAGGTGTATGCGAAATAGAAGTAATTATTGAAATTACTGACTATATATTAGGAGAGACTGGGTAGGGTAGAGCGGGGCTTGTTGAGCATAGGGGCAAGTTGAGCAATCAAAATATCTCGAAAACTATAATCACCGTCCGTTTAGGCATTATATGGCGGAAAGATAGAGGTTTGAAAGAAATAAACATCTTGCGATCGCTAGTGGCCTCTGAACAAATGAGTGAGGCTCACGGGCGTTTTGTTTATTTTGAGACCAAAAAGTAAAAAAGTCATTCATCTCGAGTTTTTGTCTGGTTTAGTCAAATGCTATTTATTTTTAATCAGGTAAATGTTATTCTTCCATATAATTATAGTACTTTTAATTTGCAAAGAGATTCTGGGTATAATTCTCACGGTTGTTTTATAAACTCACTTTTATTTTGAAATTCCGAGTTGGAGTTAGTTGATCATAGTTGCTAAACTTGTTCTGTTACTAAGATAATTACCATTAACTTCCAGAAATTAATTATTATTTTTAAGATTTAAGCTAAGTCTATGAGTAATAATATAAAGAAATAATTATTTCAAACAAAAATACTTAATATAATGGTAAAATAATTCCTAAGATACGATATTGTTTTGTTGATTCTACTTTTCGTTAATTATTTAAAGCAAATTACTATAAGTTTTGTTTTCTCTGTCAATAAAGACTATAAATATAGAACTGGTTATTAAAAACTTATTTTATTTCATCACTAATCGACATTGAATCTATGATTTCATTATACTTTCTTAGTGCTCAACTTGCTCTACCTATGGAGTACATTGAGCATACTTGACCTTTCGCATTTAAACAGCTGTAGCTATTTTAAATTTTACTAATTACCAAAAAATAGTATTAACACTTTTGTTAAGCGATAAACAACAAATCTATTAAGCCGTATAACAATTTATTGAGACTTTTAATTACTTTCATTGAGGAGCTACCTCCGTTTAAGTAAAAATTTGCTCAACTAATTCCGCCCTGCCCTACCATTGTACCATGGTACGGTAGTGACAGTGTTAATAATAGCTGAAATTACTCATTTAGAGATAGGGTCCAAAGGGAGAAAGATGAAGTATGTTTGTTCAAACAAGTTGCCGTCAGCGCCCTAGATTAACATGATCTTTAGACCGCATTGCTTTTAAAGAGTGAAAAAAGGGCTTTTTGTTCGATTTCTTTTAACAATAACTGTTATTAGCATATAGACAGATCACTTTGCTTTGTTATTTTGCTGTAAGTTGAGCTATGGTAGTCAATTACCAGGAATTAGTTTTTTGTAAATATTTTAGCTCTGCTATAATGATTATTTATTTTCAAAAGTATGCATAGCGATACAACGGTTATGGCAAATTTTGAGGGTATGGTTGTGGCATGTACTTCTTTGTCCTTTTCGGGTGAAGATTAACAGATAAATAAATCTAACTTAACTAATAAGAAAAAATACCAAAGAGAGAAAGAAAAGATTTAACAAAGAATTCTTTTTTTAAAAGATTATGACTTGTTATATATTGTTACATATTATATTCATAAGCTTTGTTTAAGTGATCATTTTAATGTTTATAGCTATTATTTTTGAACCTATCTTTATGCCCGTCACAACCGTCCTGGGGGTGTGGATAATTCAAAGATTCCCAAATCGCGTTATTAATATTGCAAAATTGTAAACTGATGCTATTTCCTTTTATAATTATAAAAATATCAAGTAATTTACATATACGGATAATCATAAATATATAAATAAAATATTGACATTATACAATTATGTATTGTACTAATACATAATTGTATAATTGTTATATTTTATAAATGTGCAGTATATAATACATCTATATTTTCATACTTAATGTTTAAATGCACGAATAGTTAGCATATGCAAAATAGGATAGTAAAGCTCCGCAAAATATATTACAAAGTTCGTGATATTGCATGAGTAACGTTATTACGAAATGCAAAATATCATAGAATAGATCTAGTGACAGAAGTATGTACAAAAAGAAGGAATCCACATTTTCTACTAAAGGTAGAAAATAAATACGTACTAAAATCTTGAAGTTTATTTTGTTTTTTTTTTGCACTGTAATCAGAACTAGAAAGTTCTATAAGCATTTGTTGAAATACTTTTTAATGTTGCATTTTTAGGTTATTATCTATCTATAGTTTTGATGATTTTTCATATTATAAAACAACGCCATGGATTTAATAGCCATTATATATTTTATCTTAATGCAGCAGTATTGGGAAGGGCTATTTTTGCTTGAAAAATATTTTAATCTATGACATCAGGTTATCCGAAACACGGATTTGAACCCGGAATTGTTATAACAGAGCCAGAAGCTTATCGCGCTACGCATACTTTTTGAATGTAGAAATTGAGGAAAAATCTTTGGATTTAAATCGTTCAAATTGAAACTAAAATATGTTTCAACCTATATTTTCAATCAAAAATAGATATCACTGCTGCTTTACATCAAGTTATACGTATACGAAATACGGATTTGAATCCGGAATTGTTATAACACAGCCGGAAGCTTATCGCGCTACGAAAAATACTCTTTTTGAAAATTGAGGAAAAATTCTTGGATTTATATCATTATTTGCTATGAAAGATACTTTTAAATTTGAAAATTGAGAAAAAATCCTTGGATTTATATCGTTAAAATTGAATATTGTTTAACATTTCAGTATATTATTTATGCATTTTTAGTATGATTTTTTTTTGGTTTATTTTTCATAGCAAACTATACACTGTACATTCAGCTATATAATATATCAGGTATATATTATTTGACAGCGTGAGAAGCTATCCTGTGATAGCACCTTCTTAGATATTATGTGATATGTTGTAGTAAATCATTGCAGATTCTTTTGTTTGTATGATGTTCTTTATGAATTTTATATTTGAATTACGGTTTTAGTTTGAGCAAAACTTGTTAATTGTTTCTTAAGTGTATTTCGATCAAGATCAAATTTACAACTGATTTTACCTGGTCAGCTTGTTGATGGCGTCTTTCCTCAGAAGAACATTGTTAATCGTATTCACCATGTTGTACGTACTAGCTCCATTAGCTGATGTATAAACCGACCCAGATTCCGAATTCGACGAGTCTTGATTGTTTGAATCGCCCGTATCTGCAGAACAAATCACAAATCAAATGTTTAATATTAATCGAACTGTTGTCAAACTTGACACAAGCTTGTAATAAATTGTTCGCGGTTTTTGGCAATAAACACTGGATATATTTGCGTATGAAATTACACATACGCGAACTAAAGTTACATTTACGCGAAGTTACAGTTCCTGGTGATGTATGGTTATTGTATTTTGATTATTGATTAACTATTCGACTAATTTAATCAATGTGCAAATTATGGCTCATAATAGAGAATTCTGCTGAAAATATATGTTCTATTATATATATGGGTCGATTTTAAGTTTACTTAGGCACATATGATTTTCAGATTCTATGGATCAAAATAAGATACTTTGCTGAAGAAACCATTTTAGAGGTATGATTTATTCAGCAAAGTATCTTAATTTGATCTCTAGTATCCGAAAATCATATGCGCTTAAGCGACTTTTTTTGACCCATACAAATCGACCCGCTCTAACAATTGTTGTTTAATTTCTATAGACTAGATGACACATAATACTATTCTGCAAGCGTTATATTACAGGGCCAAGAGAAAAAATGAAACCTATCAAAGTTGATTGGCTTCTAATTTCTAAACCATGTATGCAAGAAATAAAAACAGACCAAAAGATCCACTGTTATAAAAGAATCTTGCATTTATTGCAAACTTTAATGTCAAAATTCCACTTGAGGTTATAGATCTCAAATATAGCCTCAAGTGAAAATCGCCTCTCGTGGGTATCATTGCATATATAAAAGAATGTCAGAAAATACTTCGAGTATAGATGATTAATCATAACTGGATTGGACAACTACTGGATTGCCATCCATTCAAGATTCATATAATAAGAAAAGTTAAAACAATTACTGAATGTCCTAAGTGTGACAGATTGGAATTAAAATAAAAACTATAAACATTCATTGCAAAACCCTCTGAGCTCGGTGAAGATTGGTTTCGATATATGACTCGATCCCTTTCGGTTCATGAAAAGAGGACGAAACGATTTATTTGTGAACTGCTTCTTTAAATATTATCATCCTAGTTTGTTCTTACCTTATATATCATTTTATGTGCACAATATGGATAAAATGGTTTTTGTAATAGGTTTTTGTAATTTATTATTATTCCTACTTAAGGGGCACAACTAGAGTAACAGCCTAAAAAAAGGTGATATTTGGGCATTTATATTTAAACAAATACTTTATCAATAATTTCAAAATTTTAAGAATATATTTACACATGTTTTAAGAATACGTAGTAAAACTTTTGAAGAAAAAAATTAAATATTTTTTAAGTTATCGTCGATCTCCAACGGCGCGAAAAAAGGCCCTTTACTGCTGCAGTGATTCCGGCCTTCTACGTGGATGAAATTAAAAAAAATCTCATTAAACTAGATAATATTGTCTGTAAAATGACCTACGATAGAAAAAAAATCAAAAATTGACAAAATGGCGGCGTTTTAAAAGAAAAGTCGAATTTTACCTAAAGTTTTGGTCGTTTTTGGACTGCCAAAATTCGATTTTTGATCCGATCAAAAAATCGATAGTTTATTTTACGGAGAACTAGAACATGTAAAAAAATGATAGTGATTTGATCATTTGTTTTTGAGTAATCGCTGCAGCAAATTCGGAAAATGCTGTTTCGAGAAAAACGCGTTTAAAGATAAAATGATCGTAATACTATACTATATATATACTCTTTAAATGGCTGTAACTCAAAAACTATTTAAGATATCGACTTAAAATTTTGGTATGTTATTTTTAAAGGTATAACCTAAATATGAAAAAATTGAAAATTTGATTTTTTGAAAATTTCACACTAGTTGTGCCCCTTAATTAAAATACTATCATACTGGTAGTCAACGAACCAAAGATGAGTAAAAACGATCGAGGCTGGTTATAATATCATTAAAAAACCAAATACCATGTCATTTTATCCGTACTTCCCCTATATGTATTCACTTTCTGTTATTCTTCTAGATCTAATTATCACTTTCTACTCACCTATAACCACCCCGTCTACGCTCGGTCCAAATTCGTATGAGAACTTGAACGCATCATCGTCTGTTTGCGGTTTGAGAATGACCTCGAGGGGTCGATCTCGCAAACATTTCAACAGATCTTGAGGGGATAACGAGAAGGCGGCATTGTTGCTATTAACACTAATGCTTCCGGCGTCTTCCTGCCCGTTTGTCTGCTGTAAATTATTCGTGTCCGACGACTGAGATTGATGGAGATAGCAGTTCGCGTTACGCGCCACGTTCTCGGCGTGCGACGCCGGGTCCCGCACCAACGACCACGGGCTTAGGCCTGATCCGGACATCATGATCGCTCGGTTGAATAGTATTCCTGGAGGAAAATAGAAAATTGTGTTTGTATTATGTTTATTTGTATTATTACGAATTGTTTTATAAACTAGTGATGTATGCCATTGGGAAAATTGCTGGAACTTCAAGTACCGTCAAGTATAATTTTTTTGAAAGTCTTGATGTTTTGTAAAATGTATGATTCTTTTAAAACAATCGCACTGCGTGGCTATTTTGGATTCAAAATATCGAAGCGCATAAGCGCCGTGTTGTGGCCTAGCGATTAAACATTACAAATCTTGATGCAGAACCCATGTAAATGTAAATAAAATTTATATTAACTTCCCGAAGCAGAAGTTTATGTTTTCATAAAAAATCCGAACCGCTAATTTTATGTTTTCTCGACGTTTCAAGCCATTCTGAATCGAATGAGACTAAATTTAGAAAAAGTATGTGTGTGTGCATGTGCGTGAACAGATTTTTTGACGTAAATCGACGTTTTCTCAAAAACGGCTGCACCGATTTCAAAAATTCAAAAGCCATTTAATGTATCTCGATGAGGACTAGCGTTCATCAATTTTGTGCGACGATCGCCCTAACCGTTTCTTCATAAATAGCAAAATAGTGAAAAATCTTACGTCCACGTTTTAGTCCGCAATTCTGAATCGATTTTGAAAATTCAAACATCGTTCGAAAGATATTGATTGGGAATCGACTTGATTAGTTTTTGGTAAGGATCGGCCGGGCAGTTTTCTTGTAATGAAGTGTTAAAAAAATTTTTTCGACGATTTTCATGATTTTTTTTGGTGATAGATATCATGGGCTTCTAGATCATACTAAAACATTACGGTCCTACGACAAGTCGTTTAATTTTGAAAATTCGTCAAAGTTTAAGAAAATGAGAGTTTTTTTGACGTTTGTTAAAATTAAAATAAGACGATTTACTTGGTATAACCATAGAGTACTTGGTCCTAATGAACATACTAATCCATTAGAGTCCTATGGAAACTGGTTCAATTATAAAAATTATTGATTTTTGAAAATTAGCTTTTAGAAAATACTGCGAGTTAACGTGTTCGTTCGTTTTCAATTATGTGTAATAAATCCACTCGGAATACTTTTAATCACTCATAAATTAATTTATTTTTTATTGATTAAGTCGATTATTTACACATATCAGGAAGTTCATGTAACTTGCCTCAAGGCAAAATACCAATACCAACTAGTTATTTTTAAAATTACTTTAATATAAATGTATATATGTCTAAAAATCATTTTTGACCTTCAAATATTTTTCATCAAATCAGTTGATTTGTTGAAATTGTTGACGAAAAATTGTATCCAAACATACATACACACATACACACACACATACATCATTTTTTTTAAAGTAAAGGTAAGCAAAAATGTTCATTTTCGATACCGTAGTATTATTAATTTATTTTAGAACGATGCTCATATAGCAAAACTCTCAATTTCTACTAAATTGCTCTTCATGAAAGATGGATAAAATAAACATAATCGATCCGAGTTCGATCCGAGATTGAACATATAATTTTTATTAAAATTTCTATTTAATATTGTTTTAGAAAATCTATGAATACAAAATAGTTTGCCATCTTTCACTAAACCATCTATTAATAAAAGAAATAATTTGTCATCTTACCATCCGGTACTGCGCTGCTTGTCATCAAGAAATGAACACAAGCCGCTCCAGTTCCATGGCCCATTAAAGTTACCTGCAATAAATAACATAATTTATTATAATTTGATAATAAAAACGTTTTCATACTGTGAGTTTTCGGATCATTTTTGTTTACTTACTTGTCTTGGGTCACCGCCAAAAGCGTGTATGTTTTCTTGCAGCCAATGTAGAGCTGCCAGTTGGTCCATGAGCCCGTAGTTGGACGGGGCGCGTTGTTGGGCTTGACGAGACGGCTGCGAGCTCGGGTTTAGGAAACCTAGAATAAAAATTTAATTGAATTTTTTTTTATAAATACGATAAGATGTAATAACACATACATACACACACATATATATACATATATATATATATATATATATTAATAATGTATTCATATACAGGGGCGTAGCGTGCGTTGGCGGGGCCCCGTATCAAAATTTTTTTGGGGGCCCCTTAAAGCAGGGCAGAGTTTTTTCAAATTTTTTTATATGAATACTCGCTTATCATCAATATTCATCTATCTCTTCTCCAAAACAAACGTAACAAACGATTCAAATTCTATCTACACATTTATTAAATCATTTATAGCTTATAGTTTTTGATAAAGTTTCTGCTTCTATGAACAATAATGATCTGACTGCTGTTCCTGTATCATGGAAGTATTTAACATCCCGAAAGAAATGTTTAAATTTGGCTGAGCCGATTCCTCGAAATTAGAAAAAGAGTGCTAAAATTTTCGCCCTCGTTTCAAAATTAAGAACTGTTCGGAATATATCCCCCGGGCCTCTTTTTTTTTAAAGAATCATAAAAATTTGGAATAAATATTAATTCTTATTAATTGTGTCGATTATTTACACATATCAGGAAATGCAAGCGAAGTTCCGCAAGGCTTACAACTAATTAGCTAATTTTTCATCAGTTTTATTTTTGAAAAACTTCTTTTAGCATTTGCGGTTGCAACTGGGTAAATTGTATGCAAAAATTACTTCGGGAAAATTGTAAGCAAAAGTATTGAATTTTGGCAGCAATATAATAAATATTGAATTTCATATTTTAAACATATTTTTAGAGAGTTCACAATTAGTTATAAAAATTAACAGAGATGATCTTACTGTATTTAGACGAAAGTTTCATGAAGACAGATGTTTTGTTAAATGACTATTTGTAATTATTCGAACATACTAATTGAGTCGAAGTCTCTGATCTTTGTTTAGTTTGAGAAATTAATAAGTATAATTAGGAATAGTATATGTTGAGTTTGAAACAAGATTACTGGTTGCTATACTTTGCCTTTTGTTTTTGGAAACAGTCGTTTACGCTCCATTCATTTGCTAATTTTTCGAAAGATTTAGCGAACTGCTGAATTAATTTTAATTCTTTAATTTGCACAAAATGACTTAATGAAATGCTATTTTTCTATTTTATCGCAACCTTCTAAAGTTATATTTTTACATTCCACACGCTCATGCTTTATTCGAAATTAAATTTAGTTGCAAGAAAGTTTTTATGATTATTTTAACTTTTATTATTTGTGAAATAAGATAAAAATTCCAAACATTCTATCAATATTTGGGCAGGTTGGGCCCCGGAAAAACTACAATTTAAAATAATAATTTTACATTACTCGCGTTCTTTTTTAATGACATTAAATTTCATTGTACAAATTTTTCACGATTAATTCGCTTTTTGTGAATTTTTTTTTTAATTAATGTTTGTTTACGGACGTTGGGGGCCCCGTATTTTTGATACGGCTGATACGGCGATAGTTACGTATTACGTTCATATATCAACTAATTTGATTATTATTGTTGTGTCCTTACAACTATTTCAACAAAAAAATTAAAGTACTATCATGCAGTTTTTTTAACAACTATATTTGAAAGTAGAGGGAAAAAGATATATAACTAGACACCTTAAATCTCACGACGTTGCTATCGTAAAAGAAACGGCAACATTTAAAAATACATAGCTAAAGTATTTTCTTGCGTTGTTATTTGATTTTATGGTGAGCACTGTTGCTTAGTTTTCCAGACCTCAATATAATTTTTAAATATACGCTATTTAATTATTTCATAACATGTTGTTAATTTTAAGTTAGATTCAACAGTTTTTTTATATAACCTTTATAAAAGCTCACATCTGGGTGGGGTAAAAGAGTCCAACAAAACCCTGGCAAAAGTGTGAAAAATAAAAAGTAGCAAATAAAAAAGAGAATGAAGTTAAAATAAGCAATTTCACAAGACAAAAATTAAATAAATATTCCAAAAATTATATCAACCCTGCTGATGAATATTTTCGTCGTACTATCTCTATAGAAATTGCACACATAAAACTTATATTTTGCATTGCTTGAATAATGTTTCTATTTTTTTGTAGAAATCCATTGCAAATAAAATGAAACATTGGCTGTCCCATTTTTTCCCGCCTATGGGGTAAAACACACCAGGTTACAAATTTTTGTAAAATAGCACAAAGCACATTTCTAGAATGATGAATCTGGAATTTTATCTGAACATAGTCAGATAGTTGTTTGTTTGATATGTGTAATTTGTTATGATATAATTGTTTTGGTTTTCATAATATAATTACTCAAAGTGAAATTGGATCTTTATGCCCCGCCCTATCCTATATAAATATCTATAATATATATATATATATATATGTATATTATTAAGTTGTGCATGAATATTAGTAATAGTCTCTCTCGATATTGCTAAGTCGACTGACCTAATATGCCCAGCCTGAAGTTGACAGTGACGACGACCAGTCTCGCGTAAGCTGCCAACACCGATCCATCGTACGGGTTCCCGCTGTTCCATTCGTAAGACTCTCCATGGATGAAAACTACCACGGGGTACTTGTGCAAACTTTCGCTTTCTTCTGAAATATAGAAAATAACAATAAATATTTTGAGAATTATCTAAATTATTCAATAATGTAAATGATGTCGTAGGTATGACGTTGGAATAACTTTTATAAGGGGTAAATTTTTATGGGAAAAGAATAGACAGAAAATTTGGAAGGAGATAATGAGCTTGAAAATCTTTCTTCCAAATAATTTTACACTATTATTGGCAGATATATAAAAATATATGATATCTTGTATAATTTCATTAAATCTATTAACATGAAATTACAAATATTGCATTTTTGGCGAGAATAGCTCATCAGTAGCATGCCCGACTCACACACCAACAGTTGCTGGGATGGATTCTAGGCATAAAAGATATGAAAAGTTTAATAGAAATTAAATTAATGATCGAAAATTGCATAGAAATTGAATTAAGTAAATTTCAAAAATAGTTAATTTGAAATCAAATATAGTTAGAATTGTTGAATTGAATTTGAATAAAATTAGAATTAACAAGAAAGCAAGAGAAGATTAGAATTGAAGAAAATCAGAATTAAGTTGAGTTAAATTTGAAAAAAAATTAGATGTAAAAAGAAAAGGCAATATTAGAATTCAAGAAGATCGGATTTAGAATGAAAAAAAAAAAGAATGAAGAAATCAGTTAGAAGAAAATTAAGATAGTAAATAAAAAGATAGTATAAAATACATATATGCAAGATGGTGTAGAATAGATAAAAATGATATAGAATACGAAAACAATATAAATGTTGTAGGTGGCTAAATGCTCCAAGAGGCCAATAAAAGTTAAAAAATATTGCATAATAATTGTATAGAATAATAATAAGTAAGAATAATAATAAGTAATTAAAAATGTCTACAAAGTCAATGTACATTTTTAAGAAAGCATGTTTCCAATATTATATTAGCGAAAATTATTTATCTTATAATATAGTGCGCATTTGCAAATATGAATGAGATGTTGAAATTCGCCATCATGATATAGACTTTTATACGACTTTTATTGCTTTAACATCAATGTTAACTCCAATTTTTCATTACTCGTCAGAAATACATTTTATCAATTTTGATCTGTATATATTATAAGCAGACATTTAATAATTTTTTTGATCTTAGCATATGGTTTGTTTAGAAGGCATCTTACCCACACACCTATCCCAATTGTGACATAATTACTATACTTAACAGTATTTTTTGACTTCATATTTTTATACAGCAATGCCCACAAGTGGCTATGATAAATACACTTTAAATATCGTTCTTTTTAATTTGCGGAATTATGCTTTCATTCTATTTGAGCATGCTTACTAGTTCTTCAAAGATACAAATATAAAATAAATTGAATTATATTAATTTTTTATCCGATTCTGCTATACCTGATGTTTATTAAAGTCAATAAAGTGATTTTGATCAATTTTATTGAAATGAACAGATGATTGATGAAATTTTGATTATTTATTCATTTTTGATCACATTAGGAAAAATGTGAAAAAATCAAAATCAATAAAATTATCACTAGTAATTTTGATAAATTTTATAGAAATAAACAGATATTTGATAAATTTTAGATTATTTATTCATTTTTGATCACATTCGGATAAAATGATATACTAATACAATGGACAACATGATAGTACTATTTTGCAAAAACTACAGAGTAGTTCATTTAAGGAAAAAAATATTGAAATCTGTCAAAGATATATGCAATTTTAAAAAATAAAGTGATCGTAAGTGCATGTGACATTCAGGAAAGTTAAAAGAAAATCTGATTCCTGACAAATGCAGTTTCAAAAAATAACCTGATCGAAAGTGTAAGTAACATTAAGGAAGTTGCATATACTTGTAAACTTAAAATGCGCAAATTAACGACCTTAACAAAATGTGTAAAAAAACGAAAACAAGAAATCAGCATATTGATTTGAGGATAACGACTTTCGCAAAATAGTTGAAACATTATAAAATATTTAACTAAAATCGAACACGCGCTCATGACATCCAAAGTGTATACCAAAGTAATTAGTTAATAATCATAAATCTATTTCAGGAATAAAGTAATAGGTAAAGTAGTTTTCAATTAGAAATATGCTATTCATTGCTTTCTATAATTTTAATTGAAAATAATTTACAATTGCAACAAGTTTCCATTTTGCTGTTCTTAACGAATGCAATAGACAATTTTAATTCTCGAGATAAAGGTAAATTCTAGATCTTGATAAACTCATATTCTTGTGGAACATTTGAATTCTCTCTACAATGTTACTTTTCACTCAGCGTAGAAAATGTAGCATACTGTTTTTAATTAACAGTGATGGGTTCTTCTCAAGTTTGCGATTATAGTTGGAGCGCAAGTAATATGCAAACTTTGGCTGTGAGATACACTTATTTAAATAACACGTCATATGCATTACTAGATAATTATAATTATAAAACTACTATAGTTGCGTATGAATAATTATTATTAGCTTCCCGTATGGCAAGTTATAAAAATCGCAAAAAACTCGAAAATGAAAACTTTTGCATATCTTTACGTTTCAAAGATTTTGAACATTTTGGCATGACTTAGAAATAATGGATGTATGTGAGTTTAGATACAATTTTTTGTCCACGATTTCGGGCGCATGGATATACCTATATGAATGAGCCATTTTACAGGAAATTTGAGCAAGTTACAGGAAAAAAGTGCTAAAAATGGTGATTCAGTCTTTGAGGTAACGGAACGCCCGATTTAAATGATTCAAAAAACATTTTATTTGACTTGACGACATAAAAATTGATTAAATTTTTTTAAGTGCAATGGTTTCGGCGACACAGAGGAAAATAATAATAATATAAATTTTTTTCAAAGTTTTCAAAAATATGCTAAGTTTTATACTTTAAATATTGATTTTAAATTCACAATTTAGTTTAAAAATGTATATATTTTATATGTATTATTCTAATGGTAAGAAATATATCCTCAGATGGATTCATTCGGCATCTCTTCTTAATGTAAACATTCTCAAGTGTTTTGTGCAATAAGACTATCACTGTATATTATATGAACGAATAAATATATAGTAATTATAATTTATTTATCATAATTTTTTTTGCACAAATATTTAATTCAGGTACGGCAATGATAGTAAATGGCAAGTTTTAGCAATTTGCCTTATGGCACGATGCCATGCACAACTACGTTAGGGTATGGATAAGTCAACGAAAAATAGGAATATAGACTCTAATAAATTTTTATAGTTTAATATTTTTAATTGGGCTCCTCTGTGAATTAGTGACCAGAACTATTGGATTTCAATCAGAAGCGGAAATAAAAAGATTTTAAATTTCTTGCAGCCTTTTTCGGTAATGCGATTGAGTTAATTATACCTACAATTAATAATAAATATATAACAATTTCTTCTGGGTTGTCTTCTATAACAGCTTTGTTTTAAATTCAAAATAACTGTTTATAGTTCTATAACTGAATATAATTTTGATTACTGTAAAGTTTTTGTGTCTATTCCTGAGTTTATTGTTAGTGGAACCATTTTTACAAAATCAATAATAACCGAAACTAACAAGAACAAGCAATAAGTTTAAGAATAGACACAAATACATGATTCTTAGAATTTTATATTTCATAAAATTATCCAATAAGAACAACGGTCATACACAGAGTCTGTGGTGATTAATGGTGATAAATCAAATGATTTTTTGGTTATTTTGAAAGAACTTTTGAGACAAATTGAAATTCTGATCTGTAACTATATTGTATTTGATTAGTACTGTATTTGTGATTGCAAATTATTTATTATATTAATAAAAAATCAATTACAAAAATACATGTTACAAAATGAGGTCACAAAGTCATAGGTCAGAAATTCGATTTTGTAATACTAAATTAATAATATTTTCTAATAATAATAAATTAATTGTTTAAAGCAAATAAATATATTTCTGAATTTGGAAACAAAATAAGATCTGATAATGTTTCGGGTGATCTAATTTAACGGCTATTTCAATAAAAAAGAAAATATGTCAATTATCGAAGTTGACATTAATAATAATTACATGCAAAAGATTGTTTTAGACGAATTTTAATTACACAATCCATAATTTCAACTTCTTACATTTTGTACATTGAAATAACTAAAGTGAATTAATGTATATTTTTTATTCGTAATTTCCAATAATTTTTAATTACAAATGCATAATTAAACATCATCACTGCCTTATAAAAATCTCGACGAATAAAATCATTACCTTATTTAATGACCTATAAAATCGCTTGTAGAGGATTAAATTAAAACTCTTAATTTCTGTTTGCAAATAAATTCTTCTATTACTAAATGAGGATTATTTTATCAACGCCTATAAGTTAATTACGAGAATTTATTACCATTTGATGGTGCATGTTAATGTTTGAATTTTATGACATCTACAAGTTTGTGGGTTTGTGTTCGAATGATTTTATATGGAAATATTAAAGTCGTTGAAGTTTAGGATTCCTAAATGATATATAAATTTATAACAACCATTAAATTCTTATGATATTCGCGTAATAAAAAAGCATGTTGATGATTAAGATGCATATCTAAGCGCCGGCGACTTCATTAACAGTTTATTAAAATTGTTGGCAATTTAAATGTTTGTAGAATATTTAATGGTCGTATTTTATTTTTCTTTCCAGACTGTATATATAGACACACACACACACACACACACATATATATATATATATATATATAAAAGTTTTAAGGTATCCACAATTAATATTTTATTATCAGTCTTCTGTTTAAATTAATTAAAATTTTGCGTTAAATATAATTTTTACAATGTCAATTTTGCTAAATATAAAATATATTAAAATATTTTATTAGTGTTTGTAATGGCAGATGGATTGATAAAATGTTTAAATAAATAATAAACAGAATTATAAGATATGCCCAATATTATATCAACAATTAAAATTTTTGTAATTAAATATATAATTTTCTATATTTACAAATAAAATATTCAAAGTTCTAATTGGTAT